AATGTCATTTTGAGTCATCTATTTTGTAAATATGTAAATAATAATAACCCCTTTACTCTTCTGTAATATATGTTCTGTAATGTGATATTCATGTATTAATTGTTTTGCTCTCCAATTAAACGGAGGAAATAAAGAAACATAACATAACATAACTGGTGGTCGGTCAAAAGTGGTAATATATTCGTCCACCAATGGTTTGTCGGTCAAAGGGCGATACCACATAACAAACATTATTTAAAGATCCTTTCTCAAATTAAACCTATTTAAGAATCCTTGATAAAAAAATCAAATGGTTACTTTAGATTTTGGTGTTAATTCTCAGGGATGATCCAATCTGATGATCATCATAATAAATGATTGATACATTTACAAATAGACTATAGGTAAGCAAAGCCTGGGATATGGATTATTATCTCAGGCCAAACCTGTTGCATCAGATCGATAAGCGGCAAGTTTTCCAATATTATTTATCCAGCATACTGTACCATTACCATATACTGCAGTTTCGCGTCCTTTCTATTCAATAAACATATGAGAGTAGTGGGTTGCCATGGAAACGTATCGATTTTCAACTTACAATATCAAGTTGTATTTAGACTTAACCTTTCAATCTGTATTTTGATTTATTCGCAATGAAACTTTGAATAATAACATGAATCATTGTTTAGTTTCTACCTGTTGTTCTTGAGGTCCTTGTTGGTGTCATCTGGGGTTACCATAGATACGAGTATGTTCACAAATGATTTAATTTGAAATATGTTACTTCTTGTTTCAGTTGCAAAAACTGCCATTGGAATGTGATCACGTGGGATCGGAAAAAGGATTAAACTATCAATATTTTATTGAATTTACATTAATATGCCAACATTTCATTTACTGTGTGCTCAACTTGCTGCTTCATTGTTTATAATCAATTTGGACGTTTAATAATGATTTACTTGTGGAAATACAGGAGTAGTGGACGACGACGATGAAATACTATTATGATTGTACAGAAGGTAAGTATTATGAGTACTTTTCTCGACATTTTACTGGATGAATCTGTCCACGTATTATCTGGTGCTATTTAACGAAGGTAATGAAAATGCTCTCACATTTTCAGGTTTTCATTTCTTAAATGAACCGCGAAAATTACAATAGCATATATTTTGTTACGTATGTTTTGTAATAAATATTCGATACTCTCGTTCAAAACAGTAGGTGTCAGTCACGTTCATAGTCACATCGCAACATATCTGAACTGGAAATACGAATTATAATATGTAACATAGACATTAAATAAACGTATAGTATCATACAATATTTTAGTGACAAAAAATTACAAATACACATGTAACTTTGCACTTACGCTTCTACCTCAGGCGCCCCTATGAATATTTCATATTTGTGGTTTATTACGTTTTTAGTTTTAGCAATTTTATTTTATTGACGACAACAAATTTTGTAACCAAATCGAAGAATATGATGCTAAATGAGTTCTCCTTTGGAGTATGTCAAAATTCTGTAGCAGGAACTCATCCGTGACGTATACGTTAGTGAATCGTTAACCGTGGTAAAAAACTATTCAACCTGAAAAACAATATTTTTTCTATGCTTTAGCCATGACCTGGTGAACTCATGATCAGATAATAAACAAAAAATCATAAATGATATCGGTCCATCATCAATTAATCATTAATGTACTTTTTATGGAAACAAAACAAAACACATTTTGTTTAAAAACTGTTTAGATTGTGATTTTGTTATTAGAATTGACAGCAGGACGACTTTCCGAATTATTGGTATTATTGCCCTCTACTCTTACTGATGTTTCGCTTAGCTTGGTCTACATCTCGATTAAAACATGTGAATTTATATTACTACCCCTAACCCAGGAAAATGTAAATCCACCAATATTCTGTTACTACACAAGAATTATTAAAATGGTAGTAGTCGTACATAAGAAAATGGCATAATTGGTTGTCAGTTCGGTTTTGATTATTTTGTACACAATTTATCCCAAGAGCTAGCCCCATACTTTGAGTTTTGTTCATATTTTGTTTGGACAACAGGTACCCTATGGTCTGAATATGTAGTTAACATGAAAATCAATGTTAGCAGTCGGAAAACGACATCCGGGGCCACTTTACAATTCAGTATTGGCGGAACACAAAAACCCGGTCCATTTAATAGTATTTGATCAAAAGCAATTATTGCATATTAAATGCCACCTTATACGATAGGCGGAGGCAACTAATCAAGAGTAGAAGAATTTACTTACTAATAAAAGTTAAAATTTGAAACCTGGAATGCAGAAAGAAAATATTTCAAAAACATGTTTCTTGTATCATACCTTTCATTCGCCATCGTTCTCAACACTACAACAACTCACTAAACTAGGAAACATTTTATATTGTATTCCTTGGCCTCGGATTAAAACATAAATTTCTTGAGAATATTCCATTGATAAGAAGTGCAACATTAAATGCAGATGGCATGATGTACATGTATGTTTATTGTTAAATGATCACGATATGGTTGGCAAAAATGATCGGCTGTAAAACGATGACTTCATTCCAATCCATTGATTGATTTTTACTTTTATTTTCAGCTTTTCTCTGTCTGAATAACGGCCGAACACAGACATGATCAAAGGATAAAAGGACATAACAAGCAGTTATATTTAATCCTCACAAAATATATTTGAGAAAAATGAAGTAAAGTTGCTCTACTATATCTATTAAAGAATTAGATCTTGTAGCAAATGATCTCTCTGAATTATTATCAGATTGAGTGGTCATTACACTTTTGAGATTGAATTAACAAGATGTCCTGAGCATATTCATAAGATGTCTGACACTCAACACTTGGACTTAAAGGAGTTATTTATAGCCTGTGACCTTGATGGCTCTGGCTACATAGACGAGACCGAGTTGGCTCGCATCTGTCCCGATCTAAATGAAGCTGAGGTAAAGGCAGTCTTTAAAGAGCTGGATACAGATGGAGATGGGCAAATATGTATCAAGGAATTTGTCCAGGGATTTAACAGTCTCGAGGATGGACTTTTAGGGGCGACTGAGAAAAGCACCAGTTCAAAAGGAAATTCTAGAGTAGGCGCCAATGCCAGGGAGAAAATAAACAGAAGACATGCTGATGGTGACGATGATGGGAACACGGAAAAAGACCTTCATGAATTTGTTGGAAAACTTGACGATGGCTTTAAAAACCTCTCATGGTAAGTGATAATTTAAGTAATGAGTTATAACCAACAGAAAAGAGTGACGTTTGAAATTTTTTTAAGACTCGGACAGTTAAAATACTATGAGTCAATCAAACAAAAAACAGTTAAAGGACTACGGTGCACAAAATGACATGGACTACTTTTGTATATTTTTGGTGGTTTGGCCAAAACATGGTCTACAAATTGACGTCGCTGAAATTCCCCAAATTACAAGAGGCCGTAGCTTTACTAAGTTAGGCATCTAAAATATTTTCAGGTTTGATTGACGCAAAAGAATTTGACTGCAAGACTTTATGTTACATGAAATCACTATTTCAAAAAGTCAACAATTATCTTGAGACACACACGAGGTTATGACTTCGTTAACTTATATTTAGAAGTTGTTACTTCACTGATGACGTCCATATTAAAACAAATACATGTGTAAATAAAGAATCACTTATCGACACAATGTGTATGTTTCTTTTTATTTATTGAACATTTACTGAGCATGATAAATCATTGTTAACAAGCGCAAGGTGACACCCAGGACATTTTCAAGGGTTGCCAAATACAAAGAGAGTAACAAAACTGATCCATCCCTGAAATCAAATTAAACCAGAAATCTGTTGGAATACATTATTTTTATGATTCTTATTTTAATGTTAAAAACATAAAACGATGTGTGGGCGTACTTGTATCAGTGTTAATTTAATTTGAACCTGTGAAAAACGCACTGTTCGCATATGCTATGAGAATAAAATGTTGATTAAATGTTTGCCAATCAACAGGTATCGATTGTTAACAATCAGATAACAATATACACTTAGCAAGACAGTTACAAGTGCAGTATGTATACATGTTAACATAGAGACGGATCTGCCGATATACGGGTATATACTATACATATTATGTTACTTTGAACAACACAGAAAAACCATGAATAGAGTGAAGAACAGCATGGGTTTTAAAGTTTTAACTGAAAGAAACGATAGTTTAATAGAACTTAACGACGGTTAAGGTTTCTATGACATCACTAAAAACTCAAGTTAGTTCAGCTCAATCAATATTGGATTGCTTCTATCATAAACGTAAACTAATATGTTTAAAGGTGAACGATTTTTATGGATTAGATATGCGATTCAGTGGATTATGGAATTTAATTAGCACATACACATCATAACAATATGTTGCAGTGCAATATGATACATACAGAACTGAATATACAATATTCAGCGATATCAAATTGAAATCAAGGAATTACATAGGTGCCATGGAAAATCAAATTTATAATTTCTTAGCGAGTTGTATCCAGCCAGTTTGAACATTAAGACAAGTGGATATACTGCAGTTGTACTGGAAGCTCTGGAAGAAGACGTAGGCGTGATTACTGAACCATGACTTCTTTCCCAGTGGCGCACACACGCGATATCTCAATATTCATAGAGAATGATCAATGAGCGATATTGTACAATAAGGCGTATGAGTTATGAGACAGAAGATAAACAATTGTAAACTTCATTTATATTGTGTATATATAAAACATACATTTACTTTGACACAACTGTATAAAAAATAGGTGAAACATGATCAAACCATTGCATGTTAAGTTCGGATTGTAACATGCTTTACCACTTGGAATTTCACGTCCTTTAATACATAGTATGTACCATTCAATTCGTCGACCTTTAAGACTCAACTGACGAAACAACTAAACATTATTTGAACTCAATGAATAAAAACAGAAAGGTGTTTATAAAATGTAGTTTAATCGATCAGTAAACATAACGTCTTTCATCAAATGGCCGACGATCAAACCAAGATAGATGATCTTTTCCTTGCGTGTGATCTTAACCTTTCTGGTTATATTGAGCGAGAGGATTTGAGAGAACTCTGCTCAGATCTTGAAATAACGGAAGATGAAATTGAGGACGTATTCCAGCAACTTGACAAAGATAAAGATGGCGTAATAAGTCAGAATGACTTTGCTCATGGATTTGAAAGTGTGGCGGTATTATTTACGAAAAAGAGAAAGAAAAGTAGCACTTTTAATTCTGGATATTTACGACAGGGGTCTCTAGAAAAGAAAGATGCTTGGACAGCGTTTGTTGATGCACACGCACTGGCGATGAACGCCCTTTCTTCTGAAAGGTATTTAAAACATTATGATAAACCTCATTCCATAACTTTGGCAACCGTCCATGTGTTTACGTCCAGGCTGTTTATGTCTTAATATTAATTTTATTCCTAATCTTGCAAGACACTGGGAAAAAGGAAAACTTTAACAGAGAGTCATAACAAGATTTATTCTTGAATAGAAGAAATTAGAAAGGAGGAATTTAAGTTTTAAAAAAGTGAGAACTAAAAATATCATTCATGACTCGATATGTTTCTACAAATATTTTGTATAATTTCATTTTAAGTTGCTTAGTCCTCGCCTCCTTATTTCATTATTTTCGCTTATAAAGATGGTTAAAGCAGAGCATTCTGGGTTCGGTTGAAACTCTGCTTGGTCCAAGATTCTACAACTGCATGCTTATGTTTGAACGTATTTCCAACTTTTCTGATCCTCTGATTGTTTGGGCCAAGTGGCGAAGGGACATTGCTGACAAATCCAAGAATTCCACTTCAACTTATTTTATCCTGTGACTTTAGTTTAATTAAATTAGTATGACATGCATTAAATTGCATGGTTCAATTCACGATGGACATTTACATCAAATGCTCGAGAAGAACACTATATGGATAGCACATCAATAGATTCAGAGGTGCGCATTATAAAATACGGTGCGACTTTTACATGATAATATGATAGGTTTGCATGAGGGGGGAAACCCCCAGAGCTTTAGCGATGACAGACATATTACGTCTCTTGCGCACTGCACCCAGCATAAAAAACTAGATAACAGCAACGCCAAGGCGTAGCAAATTCCATCGAACAGCCAACAGTTGGAAACGGCCGCCTATTAGCCAGTTGAAATTGTCACTAGACAGAGTAATATTATTAGAAGTGTGCATTTTAAAGTATGGCTAACCCCCCAACTATGTTCAATTGGACGATTACCTTTGACAAAGCTAAGGGGTGGGAGAAAACGGAACCAGGTTACATCAGCGCTAGCCTCATCTGTTAAGCGGAACAGTTACTTTAATAAACATATCAGCATCAAATAATATACAGTTTTGCTGCAGTGATGAAACATTCTATTGGAATGAATCATCGATGTGAACTGCTGTGTTCTGCAACATGTGGCAACAATAATAATGTTTAAAAAATTCAACATTAAATGATATTGTTAAAGGTGTAGTTCTAGCTAGTTAGACTGAAACATGCTTATTATTATACGCACACGCCACTTCTACATTTTTTACATTTAAACTTCTGGTTTTGAATAGGATTTTGATTTTCTAAATGACAGATATTTACAGACGTCATTTGATATTAGCATCTTAGTTTAGTCGTAGAGAGTTCTGTTCTGTGAATAATAATTAGCGTTCAATAAAGAAACTCACTTGCGGCCATCTTAGAGATGAACCATCTCCCAGCATCAACACAGAACTAGAAACAGACCTGAACCACAGACACATGACTCTACAGCAGAAGTTTCTAATATTCAGATACAGACAGAAATAATAAAATATCGACCTTGTCTTCCACATGGCCTAACCAACTTTGACTAAAAATCAGGAATATGATATGAACATGAACTTGAAGAAATTAAAACTGATTTACAATCCCAACAACTAATTGAACAGTACAATCAATATTCGACTTTTAACAGTTATCTGTATATCTTTTGAAGGTTATTTTCAAAGAAATCAATAGTTTTCTCAATGCTAATTGTGTCAGTGACATTAAAATAATCAATTAAGTAAAAAAACGAACGAAATATGAGAGGCCGAAAATTGTTCTTTAAGACGGCATCTTATTGTGCAAGAAAAGTAACAAATGTAGTTAGAAACATTAGGAAGGTGAACTTGAACGTGTAGAATGTTCCTCCGTGGATTGGTTCTCTTCTTCTTACTTGCCCGTTTGATTATCGAGGTATAAGTAAAATAGATGTAAGTAGGTCCCTGGGAAAATTATTAAAAGGGGATAGTAATCCCTTGAAGTCGTAATATTTCACGTTCACGTACTTAAATGTATCTTCATCGATCTATTATGATACTTTTCTTAATACTTTCGTCTTCGTGGAATGGAGCTTCATATTTTTTAATTGTATTCGCGAATGCAAATAACGGCTGTCGGCTATCGGATTAACCAACTATTTTATGACCAACTCATTTAAATATGAATGGAATAGTGGCATGTACTATTCATTTTTAAATGAGTTGACCACAAAATAGCCGGTCAATCCGGTAGCCGACAGCCGAACGTTGCATTCGCGAATACAAGCTTTGATACCAATTTCGGGTTGCATTCTGATTGTATGAAACGATAATAAACGGAACGCCCATTGTACAGAGTAAGGGTTGCAAAGAGGAGGAAATAGTCCAGAATTCAAAGATGAACATACCTGCATGTAAAGAACCAATAGATGCATCTCTACATAAAGATATGTTCATCTTTGAATTCTTGGTTATCCCTCTTTTTGTGGTTGCGCTAGCTAGAATATCGTCATATCTCTATCATTTAGACAGTTACTTCAAAGTAATCAAGTAATTCCGGATCCTTGTATTTACATAAAATTGCATTGTAAGAAATCACATGCCGATATAATCATGATATTGTGCTGGACAAGCACCTATTATACTCTCTTGTCTAAAATGAACTCAAACACTGTTTTTTGTAAATATGTTCCTTTGTAGCTATAATTTTTGTATATTAAAATGATGTAATTTTATATGTTTGCTCTCCCTTGTGGAGGAATAAAAAATACAATACACAACACAATATAATATTATTTTCAGTCAGGAGCAAGTTTGTGAGCTTTATCAAACATTAACCACCTCGGAAAACAGCCTGATCGTCAACAAGTTTGAGGACATCATCCTTGGCGTGATACGTGACGTAAGACAGCAACAACTAGAGAATGAGAGACTTGAACAGTCATTTAGAAGGTACCAATATCAATGTTTTTAGACGCAACCGTTTCATCCTTTACGATATGGCTTTATTATTTTAACACATTGTCTTCAACTTTTGGTTGGCGTTCGGCAGGTGGTCACATTTAGCATGTTAATGCCTTGTATGGTCCTACTGAACCTCAAACTTAAGTACTTCTCCAAATTCGATATTGTTAATTTGTTGAAATAGCAAAAAATTGGAGACATGTTAAAGTTGGTTTTTGTGTTGCAAGCTTCAAAGCGCATGACCCATAAACGCTGAAACAATGTTTCCATTATGCCAATCTGTTGACAGTTTAAAATATAGTTAATAAATTGACTTGCCGTAACAGTAGTTAATATAATGACATCTTGTCATCTTGATGATGTTAAAACGACTTTCATTTTAATTACAGAGAGAAGGAGCAGCATGAACGTCATCTCAGGGAACTCGAGGAAGACATGGAGAGCCAAATGCACAAAGTGGAGACAGTTGTGCGGCAAAAGGTAACATTTTCACATTGTTCCGAGTATTGTTAGTGTACCACTGAAAGGAAACTGTTCACCATGATCTTTAACTAGTCTGATTTTTATCCACCTGTAATAGTTCTGAAATGGGACGAGAGCCAAAGAAAACTCAGAAAGCAATATCCAACAGGCATTGGCATTGAATCACTAAACGGCACGTGTTCCATTAAAGGCCCACTTTGCGTATTTTCAATGTTTTTGGGCAAAATAAAGACTTTGAATTTTATAGAATGTCCAATGTATTGATAAGAACCTTATCTGTCATTTGACACCAACAACAGCTCAAATGGACCACATCAAAGCTTACGATAATCAATCAAAAAATATTTTTGATCTGTCAAGCTTTATATATCAAGTTTTTATCAATTTCATTGAAAGATGGCGAAGTTGTTTGTATCGCATGATACATTCATTTTTATAGAATCAAAAGTAATTTAAAACATGCACTTTGTTTAGCATGTGCATGCGCTACTAATGATATCTGAACTTCAAATGCTTTTTCTATTTGAGTTATTTTTTTCTTGGTTCAGTATTAAAGCAAATCAAACTTTGTTTCATATTTGAGCAAGTGTGTGAGTAACATGCTTCAATGATTATCTTTTTCTTTTTTCTTCTAAATTAAGTATAGTGTGCCTTTAATTTAGAGTCATAATAGAGAGATTTCTTTATGGCAAAAATGAATCAATTCTGGACAAGCACCTATAATATTCTCATTATCGTCCGTCTATCAGCATCCACATCCATTGCATTCCTCTCCATATCTGTATCTACATCGATCTACACATACCCCCATCTATACAGTATGTACGATTATGTTTACATGTTATTATAATTAGGGAGTTTAAGCTTGTATATAAAATCGAAACGCAAACCCATACGTATGACCAATTGCCCATACAAATGTAACGCTTAAATATGTTCCGTTCACGTTTAGGTTATGAAAAACATTGCAAGCTTAAACTACCTATTATCTTAACATGACGTTCATCTGTCTCCGTGTAAGCCCATCTCTACATCTACTTGTGCGCCCATTTTGTAGGAACAAGAACGAGCAGAATTAGAACGAGATGAGATGAAACGGGAACTGGAGGCAGAGATAGAGAAACTCTCCGAGAACCTCAACAAACTTCATACGGTACATATGCTACATGTAGTTTATTTCATGCACTATATAGTGGACCAGGTTTAATTACTTCATACGGTACATATGTTACATGTAGTTTATTTCATACAATACTTAGTATTTTAATTACTTTATATGGTACATACATTAGTTTACTTCATACAACATATTATCGAAAAGTTTTGCAAGAAAGCTTCTCAAGAGAAAAGCTTTTATTATTTTAACATGAAATTTAATACAGATATATTATTTGTGCAAAACTTTTTCATAGTAGTTTAATTAAAGATATACTATATAATTAACCTCATACTGTACATATAAATTATAAAAGTTAAATTACTTCATACAGTATACTAGTTTACTTCATACAGTACATATAATAGTTGTTACTTCATAGGGCACATACAGGGTGTCCCGAAAGTAGCCCCCCAGGCGGACATATACCAATGTCTTCATAGTACGAGATGTGTCATATATCATTTAAAGCTTATCCAAAGTATCATGGATCAACTCACAAATAGTAAAAAGTTACAGGCATTTCAAAAGTTAGTGTTTGGCCAAAAATATAGTTCATTTTAGTATCCTGGAAACAGCCCTGACCTGAATGTGACTGAAAATATGGGTGCTATTGTCTACAAAAGGATGAATATTGAGTTCTAAAAAGAGGAAGTTGAGGGTAGATACTCCAAGGAAACTCTTCTAGAATGCCTTAAAAAGGTTTTATGAGGAGTACAAAATGCCAAATCCCTATTTGAAGCACGTTTAAGGTCATATATGAAAAGTATTGCTGCCGTTAACATGGCTTAGGGAGACACACCGACTATTATTTTGGTGTAAGACTTTAATTTTGGCCAAATACTAAATGTTGAAATGCCTGTAACTTTTGAACCGTGATACTTGGCAGATCAATGTAACTTTGGATGATCTTTAAAATGATATATGACACGTACTATGGAGACATTGGTATATGTCTGCCTAGGGGGCCTCCATACTTTATACACCCTGTATAATTGTTAATTTACTTCATATGGTAAATGCCATAGTTGAGTTACTCTATGTGGTACATACATGTACGATACTAGTTTAATTCATTAGGTGCATACATAGAAATTACTACTGCTCTGTTAGTTGGAAGTTATTAACATATGATGTGCTATTATTCTGTTAGCTGGAAGTGAAAGCGAAGAAACATCTGCCAAGCGAAGAGGAGGCAGAGCTTAAATCAAAACTGAATAAATTGTCGTCAGAGAACAGGCATCTGAAAGGCTGTCTCACAGACGCACAGACCAACGCTACTTTGACAAGAATGGATCTCAACACAATCAAAAGTGAATATGAAACGAAAAGTAGAGACTTAGAAAAGTAAGAAATAATTTGATGTTCGCACTGGTTTTATTATTTTTGTATAATACGAGAAGACACGTCGTAAATAAAATTGATGAAATATAAAAATAAACCGTCACCCATGGAAATTCTGATAAATGAATACTAAAAGTAACTAAACATAGTTTGCGTTTCAAATTGATCTATTATGGTTCTGTCGCAAGAGGAGTTTGGGTTTTTAGGTTTGTCAAGTTTTATGCTTAGTCATAAAGCGTCACGTCTTAGTGTTATGCACTATTTGTAAAAATAAATATAAATAAATTAGTTTTTTGATAAATGAATTAGTATTAATGTTTGATTTATTTTCTCATTTCAGTCAAAAACAAACTCTAGAAGATTACATCAACGAACATGATAATCTGTCCAGACAACTCCACATGCTGCATGAAGCAAACAAGAGAATGAATGATACAAACGACGATCTCAGATCTGCTCTGGATTGCTCAACGGGACATAGACGCACTGGATCCGTAAGACATTTTTAATTTGTGCAATGTATTATTATATTATTTTCGCAACAGCTCTTAATGTTGTTATGTTCTCATATCATGATGAAATTAGGATGTGTTTTCTTTCATAGACGCAATAGATCTACATTTGTTCTTTTGGGATTTGTGCAACATATTATGTCATCATGATAAAACTGTTTTTCTTTCAGGCGTCTCCCCTGCAACTGAGTCGGTCATGTTCCATTCTTAGTTCTGGGACAACATCCCCACCGCTCGATCAAAGTATCAGGTAAACGTATTGTCCATCCCAGAAAGGGAGAATGTAAAACTTGCGTTATAAGAAAACCTCGACGTTAGAATTATGGTCCTATTTACCTGATTAAGTATAAAGAAAATAGAACAATATAAAGAAAAAATATTTTCAGTTAGATCCATGAAAAAGAGACGGAGATAGAAATTGCTGTAGATCATAGTATTTAGAAGTTCTAGTTCAGATTAAAGATGCAAATATATCAATTGAATTCCAGGCGATATAATGGGAGTTATGCTTCATCGTTGGCGGAGGAGATAAGTCACACAGAGAGCATGATAGTAGCTGATGGGGGAACTCCCCGAGGAATAGCCCAGCAACACCAACCAGCACTGGGCGAATATTCTGAGGAATTTGGTGAGCATGGTGAGAAGTTGAAATATTTGAGACAATGATATGAGTCACACTTGCATGATTATGTTACTCTTTAAATGCATCTATGATATATCTTGTATTTTCATAGATTATTTGAGTCATCTACATTCTCCTATAGTACGATCTAGAGATCAAATTGATATTCAATTAGGATGCCGCCAGGGGGACAATATTTCCACAACAGCATTCTCTATATTCATAAACGATTTGGCCCAAGAATTAAAATCAGCTGGGTTGGGTATTAAGTTTGGTGATGATATAATTTCATGTTTGTTATTTGCCGATGACATTGCTATATTGTCTGAAAATGAGAAGAACTTGCAGGAATTGTTAAATCTAGCTTATAATTGGTGCCATAAATGGAGAGTTAATGTTAATATTGATAAATCCAATATAGTGCATTATCGTAAAAATAGTACTCCCAGATCAGATTTCAAATTTACATTTGGAACAAAGCATTTAGAAACCGCCACGCAATATAAGTATCTTGGATGTATATTAGATGAAACACTTAACTTCACTACAACTGCCGAAAATCTAAGCGCAGCAGCAGGCCGAGCTTTGGGGGGCCTCATCACAAAATTTAGGAAACACAATGGACTTTTCTATACAGCATACACAAGACTTTATAACACATGTATACTCCCAATTTTGAATTATGGGTCCGGCGTTTGGGGAAACAAAACTTATCAATGTACTGACAATATCCAACACAGGGCAATGAGGGCATTTCTAGGTGTGCATAGATTTGCATCTATCCCAGCAATGTATGGTGATTTGACATGGATGACACCATTAGACACTAGAAAATTAGATATTATACGTCTTTGGAACAGAATTACATTCATGAATAATAATCGTATCACTAAAAGAGTGTTCATGGAAGATTATCAAAATGGGAAAGCAAGTTGGTGCAGCGACTTTAAAAAACTGTGCATTGATTTAAATTTTGAAGAGCACTACCGTGATCAAACATATATTGACTTACGTATGGCACGAACCAGACTAATGAAGAAACAAAAAGAAAAATGGCATCAGGAAATTCTTGAACAACGTAAATTACGTACATATGTTACTTTTAAAACAGACTTTAAACCAGATCAATTCATTTTATGTGACTTGCCAAGAGGCACTAGATCACTGATTTCACAATTTCGGTATGGAATTCTACCTTTGCATATTGAAACTGGCAGATTTGTAAATACCAATGTAAATGAGCGTTTTTGTAACATTTGTAAGTCGGGTGAAATCGAAGATGAAAAGCATTTTATTTTTGATTGTAGTGCATATAGGAAAAAAAGAAATGAGTTCTTTGAAAAATTGGAAATAGAGAGTCTGACTTTAAGTGACATTTTTAAAAGTAAAAGATACACTAAGATGTTTGGTCAGTATTTAATTGACATAATGCAGATCAGGAAAGACTTTATTTTTAAACAATAACTAGTTATTTTAAAATGTTAAAATGTGTCTCATAAGCCCAGATAGGGCTGGTTGTATGATATGATACAAGTGACACTTAAATAAAATAAATAAATAAATAAATAAATAATAGGAAAATGCATGCTTTAATTGCTACAGATAGTGGCCACTCCACCCTAAGAGATGTGAATGAGCTTCATTCAGATGAAGATAATAGTTTGGAGGAGGAACTACGGAAAGCGGCCCGTAAATATATACAAGGAGGAATTGATCCGAGATTCCTTGATCAAGATCATAGCGAGGTAAGCTTAGTGATTAATTATGCCTGTACAATTCGCCTGTGCTTGAGTAAAATATCTACCATATCGAAATTAAACATATGTACCAAAATCAAAAATAAAGCGTAGGCCTATGTTGAGAAATGTTGAGACACTTGCAGTACAAATTCGGAAAATTGAATTTCTTTGAAATATTGTGATTAATTCAGTGTAGGACTAGATTTAAAGCCTGTACGAGTGAGTCCTTATCTAATTTTGTTGTAGGGACGGGTGTCGTTTTGACACTATACACCTTTTAATAATCAAACATTTTTGAATTTGTTTTCCTTTCTTTTTGCTTTGCTCCAGAACCTAGAGTATCATATGGACAGTGATTTAGATGGCAGTGAGAGGCGGAGTAGGCCAAGTTCTGCAACATCCGCTAGAAGTAACCTTTCTACACGTAGTAGGAGGAACAAGAGGCGACAGCTTCCCGTCATACCTACTAAACCAAAGGTTGAACCAGAGGTTTGTGAAGGCCATTGTTTGTCGCCAATTATCCACGAGAATTTGAATTAAATATCTAAATACAATGCATATGTGTATAAGATGGATTTATATCCATCTGTATACATAAAATGAACAAAATATTTTGTAGTGTTATGAAGTATTGTAAAGATCACCAAAAGTTTCATATAAATACGAGTATATTTTTCCATTTTACTTAAGATTATTTCTAAAATGATGCATACCACGTATTAAGTCTATGACTTTTAAGAGGTTCAGTGTCCATACAGCTGTACCACCCTGTATAAGTATACCAATTCAGCAATTTATTCTTGAGGTATGTCCGTAAGATATAATTTCTCTTACTAGCCTTGAAATGTCTTTCTGCAAGCAGTTCTTATAATATTTCTATTGACTTTTACCTACAATAGTAAGGTGGTACATTGTATGTCACAGGTTCCTATCGTTGGTGACCCAGAAAGGATGTATAAGGTTGTGCTAGCAGGTGATGCGGCTGTCGGCAAGTCAAGTTTCATCATGCGCCTGTGCAAAGGAAAGTTTGTCCCAAACCTCAATTCAACATTGGGTAAGTGGACGCACGCCGTGGATTATTAAACATTGGACGTACTTAGTTATATCGTATAATATTTTTGACTTTGGTTGGATAAAATGTATCATATTTAAAATAAATTCGTACATGTATTACGTGTACATATTTTTTGACTTTGGTCGGAGAAAATGTATCAAATTCAAGGTGTGTACGTACGTGAAATGATCCAATGCTTCTTCACTAATACAGCTTGTTTATTTCAAGGTGTTGACTTCCAGACCAAAACATTGAATGTGGATGGTAAATTGATTGCTCTTCAACTCTGGGATACTGCAGGACAGGAAAGGTAATATCACGCATCATTGCACAAAATTCGTTCATATAGCAAATAAGATACACACACATACAGCACGCTTTGAACAAAATATACTCACATGCATAATGGACACATGCACATTGAACAAAATATACTTGCATAGCTCACAAAATACACTCACAAATTGAGCAAAATATAGTTACATAATGTTGCATAAAATGAGAAAATAAATACACTCACATAAAGTAGCACACATTGAAATAAACAAACTTGCATAATGCAGCACACATTGAAATAAACACACCCGCATAATGTAGCACACATTGAAGAAATACATTCACAATGTAGCACACATTAAAGAAATACACTCACATAATGTAGCAACCATTGAAGAAATACACTCACATAATGTAGCACATATTGGAGAAATACACTCATATAAAGTAGCACACATAGATGAAATACATAATGGATCACATATTGAAGAAATACATTCATATAATGTAGCCCACATTGAAGAAATACACTCACATAAAGTAGCACACATTGAAGAAATACACTCACATAATGTAGCACATATTGGAGAAATACACTCACATAAAGTAGCACACATAGATGAAATACACTCACATAATGTAGCACATATTGAAGAAATACACTCATGTAATATAGCACACATTGAAGAAATACACTCACATAAAGTAGCACACATTGAAGAAACATCCTCACATAAAGTATCACACATTGAAGAAATACACTCACATAAAGTAGCACACATAGATGAAATACACTCACACAATGTAGCACACATTGAAGAAATACACTCACATAAAGTAGCACACATTTGAGAAACACACTCACATAAAGTAACACACATTGAAGAAATACACTCACGTAAAGTAGCACACATAGATGAAATACACTTACATAATGTAGCACATATTGAAGAAATACACTCATATAATGTAGCACACATTAAATAAATACATTCACATGATGTAGCACAAATCAAAGAAATACACTCACATAATGTTGCACACATTGACGTAACACACTCACATAAAGTAGCACACATAGATGAAATACACTCACATAATGTAGCACACATTGAAGAAATACACTCACATAAAGTAGCACACATTGGAGAAACACACTCACATAAAGTAAACACATTGAAGAAATAAACTCACGTAAAGTAGCACACATAGATGAAATACACTCACATAATGTAGCACATATTGAAGAAATACATTCATATAATGTAGCACACATTGAAGAAATACACTCACATAAAGTAGCACACATTGAAGAAATACACTCACATAATGTAGCACATATTGGAGAAATACACTCACATAAAGTAGCACACATAGATGAAATACACTCACATAATGTAGCACATATTGAAGAAATACACTCATGTAATATAGCACACATTGAAGAAATACACTCACATAAAGTAGCACACATTGAAGAAACATCCTCACATAAAGTAGCACACATTGAAGAAATACACTCACATAAAGTAGCACACATAGATGAAATACACTCACATAATGTAGCACACATTGAAGAAATACACTCACATAAAGTAGCACACATTTGAGAAACACACTCACATAAAGTAACACACATTGAAGAAATACACTCACATAAAGTAGCACACATAGATGAAATACACTTACATAATGTAGCACATATTGAAGAAATACACTCATATAATGTAGCACACATTAAATAAATACATTCACATGATGTAGCACAAATCAAAGAAATACACTCACATAATGTTGCACACATTGACGTAACACACTCACATAAAGTAGCACACATAGATGAAATACACTCACATAATGTAGCACACATTGAAGAAATACACTCACATAAAGTAGCACACATTGGAGAAACACACTCACATAAAGTAAACACATTGAAGAAATAAACTCACGTAAAGTAGCACACATAGATGAAATACACTCACATAATGTAGCACATATTGAAGAAATACACTCATATAATGTTGCACACATAGATGGAAATACACTCACATAATGTAGCAAACATTGAGCAAAATGCACTTACATAATGTAGCACAATTGAGGAAAATACACCCATACTGCAGGCCATTCAGGAAACTTTCTTCAAAATACACTCACAGTGAATATAAGTGCGCATCATGGAATTCCATTAAAGTAATCCATTATTTTTAGGTTTCGGAGTATTGCAAAGTCTTACTTCAGAAGAGCAGATGGCGTTCTCCTGCTGTACGATTGCACTTACGAACGGTCATTCATCAACGTCAGAGACTGGATGGAAAGCATTCAGGTGAGGAAATGTGTCTTGTGAAACAGCTTTTCCCTACATTGGGTTCTGGCATAATTGTGTAAGTACAAGGGTTTGGTTGTACATCGTGTCTTTGCTCACAGTAAGAGGGGGGGGACACATATAATACTAATAAGCAATGGTGGTATTTTTGTGTATAACTAAAATATATTTGTTCCAGGAAAGCTCTGATAAAGTGCTGCCTATGATGATGTGTGCCAATAAGACAGATCTGCGTGAAGATGTTGGGGAGGATGGAAAGAAATGTATCTCTTTCGAAGATGGCCAAAAATTGGCAAGGGTAGGTCCAAAATAAATGTATATACATATTACATATACTCAGCCAGTTAGCGCAGCTTTGTAGCCTCATCATCTCGTCATCTTCAATCAGAATCATACTTGTCATTGATTACAACGAGAGTTGGTGCTGGCATAATGTTATTATTAGTCTCCAACTTTTTTGTGGACGGTGTTTGGCTGTTGGTGTTAACGTTCGGCGTTCGGAAATTTGTGTTCGGCATCTGTGACAAATGGCAGGTGGTGACATTTTGCATGTTAATGCCCTGTCTTACATGTTAAGCCATTATAATATATGTCTGGTAGAGTGTTCTCTATTTGTAATCATGTTTTTCTCATATAGGAGTGTGGTTCACTGTTCATAGAGACAAGTGCAAAGGAAGGTGACCACATCACAGAGGCAGTTACTGAGTTGGCAAGATTACTAATGACAAATGAAGACTTGGAAGTGAAATCCGTTGGTCTACAACTGCACGATATCTCTGAAAAGAAGAAGAATCCGTGTTGTGGAGCACTGGGTTAAATGCATTAAAGATATCTTCTTTAAAATTGTTAATACATTCCAGTCTTCCTTCGTACCATACGTGTTAATGCTTCCATTACGACTGTATTTATAACTAGATAACTAGATATAAGTTCTATATCCGATAACCTTAAACAAAATATACATGTTTTTTTTACATACATGACCAAGTAAGAGACAATTTTACTAAATTGTGCCACCTACATGTATTGGAAACGAAGTCATCAGTACAGTTCTATACTGTAAAATTGGATAAACTGATGAAAAAAGACATCATATACTAGTCAATATATCCTAGTTCTAAGCAAAAGAGGGCATTGATTTAATGGAAACGTCAATTTGGGCTCAGAATATAGAATAATGGATGCCATCAAGTTTTACTTAAAGCTAGAAAATATTCTGATCTCTAAGTCCAATGTTAAAGTGTATATGCATGCGTGTACACTAGTGGTAATGATAAAATATTTATTATTCAGGGTGATCCAAAAAAGGTTACCCAAACAAATGTATGTTAATAACGCCGTCGTTTAGCATGGGCTTATTAAGCACAATTACTCGTTCAATGTTCTTCTTTCTACTAAGTTTCATAGGTCTATCTCAAATGGGGCTAACCTATCTGTGGGGCTAATGTCTACACTAACAACCCTTGAAACATTTAGACAAGATATAAGGAAGAAGACAGAGAGCCATAACATAGGATGTCTGTACTCGTGTAGGGAACAACAACGCCCGATACGAAGTTAACCTCCAGACACGACAACGGTATAATATTTTATAGCATGTTTTATAAAATGATCATAAAATCGCGACCATTTCAAATAGACCAATTAAACTTAGAAGAATGAAAGAACATATGAACAAGGTTTCAATTCGCCAAATATGACACCAAACCCATGCTGAATGCGTTTGGGTTTGGTTGGGTCACCTTTTTTGCTCACCCTGTGTTTATTTCATTGTATATATGTAAATTATTAAAATGCTTTTTGGGTAATTGGGTACATTTCACTTGTAAATAATAGAATTTTAGTGCAATATATTTTATTACTTTTATTTACAATTGTTAGCAATAATTGTTGTTGAAAACGACTTTATCATTGTAAGAGCTACTTGCTCGTACGTTGACCATGTGTTAATGATTCTATGCTCTGATGTTGACCACATGAATTATGCGTTAATGTTTCCATTCTCTGATGTTGATCACATAAATTATGCGTTAATGTTTCCATTCTCTGATGTTGACCACATAAATTATGTGTTAATGTTTCCATTCACTGATGTTGACCACATAAATTATGTGTTACTGTTTCTATGCTCTGATGTTGACCACATAAATTATGCGATAATGTTTCCATGCTCTGATGTTGACCACATAAATTATGCGTTAATGTTTCCATTCCCTGATGTTGACCACATAAAGTATGCGTTAATGTTTCCATGCTCTGATGTTGACCACATAAATTATGTGTTACTGTTTCCATTCTCTGATGTTGACCACATAAATTATGTGTTACTGTTTCCATGCTCTGATGTTGACCACATAAATTATGTGTTACTGTTTCCATGCTCTGATGTTGACCATATAAATTATGCGTTAATATTTCCATGCTCTGATGTTGACCACATAAATTATGTGTTAATATTTGCTTTCTCTGATGTTGACCACATAAATTATGTGTTAATGTTTCCATTCTCTGATGTTGACCACATAAATTATGCGTTAATATTTCCTTGCTCTGATGTTGACCACATAAATTATGCGATAATGTTTCCATGCTCTGATGTTGACCACATAAATTATGCGTTAATGTTTCCATGCTCGTATGTTGACCACATAAATGCATTAATGTGTCCATGCTCTGATGTTGACCACATAAATTATGCGTTAATATTTCCTTGCTCTGATGTTGACCACATAAATTATGTGTTACTGTTTCCATGCTCTGATTTTGACCAAATAACGTATGCGTTAATGTTTCCATGCTCGTATGTTGACCACATAAATGCATTAATGTTTCCATGCTCTGATGTTGACCACATAAATTATGCGTTAATGTTTCCATGCTCTGATGTTGACCACATAAATTATGCGTTACTGTTTCCATGCTCTGATGTTGACCAAATAACGTATGCGTTAATGTTTCCATGCTCGTATGTTGACCACATAAATGCATTAATGTTTCCATGCTCTGATGTTGACCACATAAATTATGCGTTAATGTTTCCATGCTCTGATGTTGACCACATAAATTATGCGTTAATGTTTCCATGCTCTAATGTTGACCACATCAATTATGCGATAATGTTTCCATGCTCGTATGTTGACCACATAAATGCATTAATGTTTCCATGCTCGTAATGTTTACCACATAACGTATGCGTTAATGTTTCCATGCTCGTATGTTGACCACATAAATTATGCGTTAATGTTTCCATGCTCTGATGTTGACCACATAAATTATGCGTTAATGTTTCCATGCTCTGATGTTGACCACATAAAGTATGCGTTAATGTCCCCATGCTCTGATGCTGACCAAAGAAAAATGCTTTCATACTCGTATGTTGACCGTGTAAACTATGTGTTAATGTTTCCATACTTTGAGCTTCCTTGAAAGTAAAAATATGCAATTTTACCGTGGAAGTGTCAACTTGCGATCTGATTTTATCCATGATCATTTGAAAAAATGAGATAAAATTGTGAAGAGTATGCCATTACACATTGTATATATTTAAGTCTCAAAGTGCCCTTGATTTTTTTAAACCTGAAGGTCATATTCATAAATAGCTATATGAAAATTACAAAACTGTGTGACAATTTCTTGGACATATACCTGTAAGAAATGCCCATATAAAAAGCATATATTTTATTGACTAGCCCTCAAATTAAATATCTAAAAGGCTCGTATGGATTCTACAAGTCTAGAGCAACAATAGTCGGGTTTAGTGTAAATTCCGTCCAGGTCAAAAAATATTGGTATTCTGTATTCTTGTTTACGATAAAAACATAATGCCAAAATGATGTGTATTTCAGATAAGAAGAAATCATTATTAATGCGTTTTGATAAGGTATAATGTACATCAAATATTTTGATATACCTATCTTCTTTTTAGTCAAACCCAATAGCGACAGTTTTAATCTATGTTGTCTCGGGTGTCTTCGAAAACATCCAAAATGTCTCAATTATTTAAGAAGTAGAAGTTATTTAGAAAAATGAATATAGATATTTAATCAAAAGTCACTAAAGAAATGTGAAATGTCCAAAATTCACTGGAATAGAAAAAAGATTGTGATTAACCAGATGACCTTTAAAATCGATTATTCTGAAATAAAAACAGAAAGGGCATTGCATTCCCCTCAGAATAATAATTATTGATATAAGACTGAGTTCAGGCTTGATGAACTAGCCAATTGTTGACTTGTTTGTGTACATTGATTGGTTGAAAGAAAAGAATAAAACATATTGAAATAGCATTTCAACATGTTTTCTGTTTGATCATCAAACGTTTATAGAATGTCATTAGGCTATTTAAAATTTAACACCATCCCAACCCAAGACCCATAATTTAAGTTGGCTCTTTTGAAAAATTACGAAAATGCTTATTGCTCCGGTTACACTTTTCATGGTAATATCACGTCTCCCATGAGCAACGTTAAAGGCCCCCTCACATATGAACGAATCCACCAAACGCAGTCTTGCGATGTCAATTCTGGCGATTGGGAACGTAAACTTGCGAACCGAAGCGTAGCTTTGCGCATGCTCCCGAATTGATACTTACACATACGAACGCACCAGCAAGACTGCGTTAAGTGGATTCGTTAGAGGGGGGCCTATTAGCACCGGTTTACATGGACAAGTGCTTAGGAGGATGACACCCGGGCGCGGGGGATGACACCTCTGGTGCGTCATATGACAAAATGAACACCCTAGTCAGTGAGTTATCAATAAAATGGGCGATGCGTTACCTTTGACATCCGACGCACTTGCAACGCTCCTTAACGTTACTCACTGTGTACAAAATAGCAATTTATATTTTTACATCCATATCCTTTGCCCAAATCAATTTTCCTTTATGTGTGCAAGCATTAGCCTATTATTCAACTCTCAATAAATAAGAAATATGTGCATTTTTATTGGAATATCTGGATCTTCCCTTGTATATCTTAGAAGCTTCCGCACCGAAACAAGCCCCAAATAGGAATACGTACGCGTATACATACAACATACAAACAAACAAAAAAACTTAAGAAAACACAAGAGTGATATAACGTTTAAACATTTTATTGAAAGCATTTTTAAATACGTGTTTTATTTTTGTACCAATTGAAAGGTACCCATTGTCCAGCATGTTTATCACAGTGTCCATATTTGGGCGTTTTTGAGGCTCATTCACAACACATACTTTGCCAACATCGACCAGTTGGGGAATATTCAATAATTTTCCTGATAACTCCATAAAGGTTCCGAGAACTTTTACTTTTGATCTAATAATTTTTAGCTTCAGTTCGGCATTTTTCTCGGTTTTTGATTTCTTGTCAAACCTCTTGTTAATGATACGGTTCATTTCTTTGAACATATTGCTAAATTTTTCTACCCATTCCGCATCAGTAAATTTGAGGTTCTTTTCCTTTATAGAACGACCGCGTCCTTTTATTTCTTTGTACTGGACCTTCTTAAAGGCATCAGTGATTATCCAGTCGATCATGTACATCGTCCCAATTGTTAAACGCTCAAACTGTCTTAGGAACTGCAAGAGATTCCTGGTGCGGGTTTCCACTTTTTCCCTGTAACGCCTGAAACGTCTTCGCCTGTATTCAGATCTAGCCGATTTCAAACCATCCAGATCAGGCAACTGAAAATATATGGTCATTAGTCTCAAGAATACGCTCTTTTGCCGGAATATTATGTGACTAGAGATTGATTCCTGGGAAATAAAAATGTTGTAAATGACAAATTCTTGACAAGTCTATGGGGTCCATATACAATAGACCATTGGGCCCATCCCAGAATAAAATTTTGGGTCCAAAATAATTTGGGCCTTAATTAGTGGGCCTTTTTGGCCATTACTTGAAATTACACTTTAAATGTGCCGCCCTCTCCCCTGTTAGCTTCCAGATCCGCCACTGTGTCATTTGCGAGCAAAGGTGACATCTGTTTCATATGTGATCAGATTCAGTGTGAATTATTTTTCTTAAAAAAGAATCAATGAATTCTTACCTGCGGTCCGTGGATGATCAAGTTTAGAACGCTCATTAGAACCAATCTGACCAAACTCTCATTAGGATCCGTCATATTGAATGAATGATATCTCTGAGAAGAAGATACTAATTCAAAACTAGAGACCTTCTTGATAATCTCAAGATGATCACTATGAAGATGCTTTGTAAACAGAAAAGAGGTGAGGCACTATATGACGTCATGTATTTATACTGTTAGGATTGGTTAGATCGATACAATGTGTCAATGACGTCATATCTTAGGCCAAGCATACTTAGAAATTAAGTTTCTCATTAAGTTCATTGGGTCCAACTATCAATCCCATTTGGCTTTACGTGGCGTCAAGTCCATTCATGTGGAGATTTCACCTTGCTCCAATGGCTTATTGTTATAATATTATTATATCTCTTTATTTCTCATTTAGCATGGAGTACACAACACAACACAACAGTGAAAATTAGAAAAAACAAACAAAAAACACATCTAAAAATTTAAGACAATAACAAAAACTTAAAAAACAACTAAAATTTCAATAACAAGTAAGAACATATCTAATAAAAAATCACAAAAAGTGATGGAAAGTCACATTTCTAAATATATGTATTTCTAAATATTTGCATCACTCTAAAACTTGAAGTTCCACAACAGTACAAAAGAAAGGTAGTAAAATCGAATTGTCTGTAAAACCGTCGCTTGAGTTATGTAGCATGTCATTGCAATTGCGAGCATCTTCAGTAATGTAATGACCTTCGATAGCAAGTCGCTACTACAGTCTCAGCTTAATGGCTAGCCTTTATGGCTCAGGGGTAGAGCGTTCGATTCCCGTATGGGGCATTGGATTTAGCACACTCTCTTTCGAGTCTAGTATCTGGCTCGGTACACTACAGCTCCCCGACGAGCGTGCCCAAGGGTCGTTACAATTCCAGTTAACTGTTAACAGTTTTGAGGCTACAGTGGCAAACTTTAGAAGACCAGGGATGACCTTTGAGTGTTTCCAAAGTGGACACGATTCAATTGAATCTTGTATTTGTCACAGTCGACTAAAACTAACATCATTACTTAGCAGTTTCGTACTGAATTCATTGCATGTTTTACGATGTTTTATTAACGTAATTATAATATAAAAAGTCTTGCCAAGAGCATGCACATGGAATTAAACATGAAATACTTCATCATATTCTTTAGATAAATCTTTTAAAACCTATATCACAATTTTGCTTCAAACATGACAAGGTAAAGGTGAAGTGTACACTCATATATTGTGTCACCGCACTGTACGTAATCCTTGTCGATGGTTTGGCGTGACTACCCAACCAGAATTTTGGTGATCATTTTATTCCAAGATGACATGAAGTTCTAAATACAGGGAAAAATAGCCCTTCCTCAGTTGCGTCGTATGTACTTTCAAATGATGAGCAATGCATCCATTCTCTGTATCACATTTAGATTCACAATAGTGAGCAATACCCCCCTGGCCGCATCATGGGCCTATACGTATGCAGATTCACATACAGTAGCTTAACGGGCAATACACCCCCGTCTGTATCTATAATTTCATAATAACATGAATAAATATACCATTGATCGATTATTTCCTCCCGGTGAATAACACCAGGGAATATAATTGATATTATTGGACTTTGGCTTTCTCCACGAAGAATGGATGAATTTTTATATAAACATTTCCATTCTCTGAGGAGACAAGTCAACGTCCAATAAAGTACGTTTTTAAGGCAACGTAAAGTGTCTTGAAAATGCATAGATCAAAAATCATCAATTCTTAGTGGAGAAAAGTAAACGTATAAAAGTAGATTACTGTTTACGAAAAAACGACTAAGTCCAAAGTATCGCTTTTTCAAAAGAATATCTGACCATTTTTCAACAAGTCTTTCTCAAATAAATTGTCTTCGAATTGTTACTTGTAAAAGAGGCGAATAAGCGTTACTTTTGAAATGATTATATATTTTCTGTCCCTAAATCATGGCATATACAGGGCGTATAAAAAAAACGCAACAAGTAGTTATCTCGTAAAATCACAAAATGAATGATGACTACATCAATTTCATTCAATGTACCATAAAGTCACGTCTCTCCTCTTTGTAATGATGTGGCATTCATTCACATGTGGTAATGGTTGGGTGAGAAATCCTTCCATTTGCACAGTGGGTCAAAATCGGCTCTGCTCCAAGTTTTAGATAGCCTATTGCAAAAATCAGTACAAGGGCTAAGTGCCAATGGAAGTTCCCCTGACTTGAATTGTTGTGACTTTTTCTTTTGGAGCTATCTCAGGAGCATCTGTGCTCACAATTCCTCCACCAGATATTGCAAAACCTCGAGAAAGAATTGCCCATGGGCTGCTTTTCTCTGGTTTCACCCACAGATGACTCAGGGCTGAACCATGAATGACATGGACAGATGAGCCCATCTTTATGTGCAAGGAAGTGGTGGCTTTTGGAGGGGTTATGGGATGTATTCTTGCAAGAGTATGAGTATGAACACTTTACTGTCTATGCCACACCTATCACACCTTCTTCCAATAGCCCCTATGCCCCTTGTACTGACTTTTCAAGCCAATGTTTAAAACTTAGATCGGAGCTGAATTTTGCCCCACTTTGCAAAATTAATGATTATTCGTCCAATCATGACTCCCTGTGAATGAATGATATTCCATTGCAAATGAGATCGAGTAATTTGGCTTTTTGAATGAAAAGGATGCAGTCAGGATTGGTTTTATGTTTTCTTTCAATATTGCATCGGGCTCCGTACACTGACTTTTGCGATGTTTATAACTTCCCAAGCTAATTTTGGCCCACTTTGCAAATGGAATGATTACTCGCTCAACCATGACCAAATATCAATGAATGATATATCCGGAGACACGTGACTTTATGGTGCATTGAATGAAATCAATGCTGTTATCACTGGTTTTGTGCTTTTCCGAGATAACAATCTGTTGCCTTTTTACACAGGGCCACGGGTTGGTCGAAAGATGCAAATTTGGGCAGCGGAGTGAAAAGGCACAAGGATGCAAAGTAAGCCAATAATCATCATATCATTTGAAGCACACTTATGGCTGGGGCCCTAAAAATATATCAATCATCACTGGGCCTTTATTCCGCATGGGCTCTATCAGAGGTAGAGCCCATGCTCAGTATTCTTTCGGACTTTGGAAAAATAGACCCCAGGCCCGTAGCCAGGATTTACCACGGGGTAGTTCGGTTTTACCAATTTTCGAAACGTCAAACCCTCTTGATTCAATTGTCTGTAACATAAGAGTTCACTGAAATAGTTGATGGACGATGCTAGCCTCCTGGCTCATTTTTTGTAAATAATATCCCGGTCGTGATTTTATTGAAGCAGAAAAAAGTTCTTGGTTATCTTCACCTTTTAATCGTGGTAGAGATATAAATCTGAAATATTAGAGAGTAGTAGGGACTTGTCAGCAAGTTCTGAACATGTATGCGTGCGTGTTTGTTCAATATGTTCTTTTTATTTTGGGACTACTTTATCGGAAGGATTATAAGTTAATTGGAAGTTAGCCGCCACTATTTGAAAGTTTTAGGTAGGTAAAATTATGTTCTTTTTGATAAAATATTCTCGAATGTATATCACTCTGTCTCATAAACGATACAGATTACACATTATTGATATATGATATACAAACTGGGGTAGCTAAGATGCTTATTTTGCATATGTTACATCAAGAAATTGAAGTAGGATATCGATGCTGAAAATGTCTGAGTCAAGAGTTTTCCCACAACACAGGCACAGGAACAAGTTCACTGCCACTCACTGTGTGGATGATAGTATTTTATTCGGTAAACAGTGAGTGGGGTGAACTCTTGTTCTTAGTCCTGTAGTAATTTCTGAGACATAACCCAGATCTAGGGCTCCTATAGATCTACATAACACACTGAAAAATTGCTGTGTTAGCATATTGCGGGGGGGTGGCACTCCCATATATTGGGTATGTTGGGACGTGCTGCTAAAGTGGGTCACTTTTTCGCCAAAAAATCTCTGTGGGTCCCATTTTGTAGAAAAACCCCTAGATATTGGTCCGATTTTGATGAAAAAATCCCTAGAACTGGGTCTACTTTTTGAAAAATTCTAAAACTGGGTACTGTTTTTGAAAAAATCGCCGGAAGTGGGTCTTGTTTTTGAAAAAATTACCATGAAGTGGGTCTATTTTTCAAAGAAAAACCCTAGATGTTGGTCTATTTTTGAAAGGAAAACCCTAGATATGGGTCCGTTTAGAGAAAAAATCCCTAGATGTCGGTAGATATCTTGAGTCTCAGCGGCACCCCCCTGTAAAAAAATTTGACCAGTACCCCAGTGCCATTAACATATTCCTGAACATGCAGAAATACCTGAAGTTTCTCTATCTTTCTAATATAATCTCATCTACAGTCCAATTCAATAATTGTAAAGCAAACAAATTACTCCAGGCCTGGCAAGTGCAATATTATATTGAAAATGTCTGTCTTATCCACAATATAAATAGTCTAATCTCCTATCCCCATCGTCAATTGTAATAGCAATCAAACTACTACAGTGCAATATTGAGAATGCAAACAGCTGTTTTGGTCAATGTGGACTTTCAGCCATTTTGATACAATCCTCAGAGTCACATGTTATTTTCAAATATGAACTCCTCCTCATCTAGCTGTCATTCACTTTACTTGTCTGTTATTCAGTTCATCTACATGTTATTCAGTCCATCTGTCTTTTATTGAGTTCATCTGTCAGTTATTCAGTTCATCTGTCCGTTAATCAGTTTACCTGTCTGTTTTTCAGTTCATCTGACTTTGATTCATTTCATCTGTTTGTTATTCAGGTCATCTTTCCTTTATTCAGTTCCTCTGTCCTTTATTTAGTTCATCTTTTCGTTATTCAGTTCTTCTATTTGTTATGAAATTAGTAATGTATCATTATTCTTTCAGAAGTTTTGTGTGGAAGTGTTAGTATGAAATAACGTCTGATGTAGGATGTACAATCCAGGAAACCAGTACCTGCCACCTCATGGACAAGGCCAGCAGTACCACATGGTGCAGCAGCCAGCAGCCATGCAATATACTCCTCTACATCTAACCCAGGCAGTAACATCACATAGTGACATGCCTACAACTCTGGGGACAGCTACTGGGGTGCCACTGCAGCCTCACATAAGAACGCCATACATGATGCAAGTCCCTGATAATAATGTTCCCCCACTAATGCCGGGGACATATGCCAATCCTCCTGTCTCTCCCTTACAAGGGTCACTTCCCCCAATGGGGACACAGGGCCATATACAAGGGGCGTCTCATACTTATCCTCCTGGCCAGGTTGGTGGCCTTCAAAGCTCCAGTATAGGAAGCCCTCCTGTACATTTTCAGGAGTTCCAACCCCTTCAACGAAATAAAATTGTTTACTATAATTCTATGTATCCAACTCAGGCGAATCCCACCCAACTTCAGCCTCAACCAAAAACTAGAGAGAGGCATGCTCTTTCGATAGTAGATCCTGAAAGTGGCAAAGATGTTATATCAAACAATAAACGAGCAAGAAATAACTCATGTCCTGATTTGGATTCAAAGCAACGTGTAACTCCACCAATTAATTTTAGTGTTCCACCCCCCAGTTTGAATCTGTCAGCTTTACATCCTTCAACTGCTGGAGCCATGCAAGGTTTACATCCTTCAACTGCTGGAGCCATGCAAGCTTTTCATCCTTCAACCGCTGGAGCCATACCAGCTTTGCATCCCCCACCCATTGGAGCCATACCAATTTTACATCCTCCAACCAGTGGAGCCATACCGATTTTACATCCTCCAACCAGTGGAGCTAAACAAACTCCCTCAACAAGTGGAGCCATACCAGCTTTACAGTCATCAACCAGTGGAGCCAATTCAACTGTAGATCTCATTACCAATGGAGCCAATGCTTTACCGCCTCTTGGCAGTTATTTAAACATGATACCCACCAGTCAAGTCAGCTCGGTTGAATCTGCTCCCCCGATATTGTCAAAGCAACCAAATATCTCATCTCCTGTGTTGTCAAGAGAAACGAGTGGCTCTCCTCCGATGTTATCATCGACTGCTTTAAAGCGAAAGATGTTTCACTACCTGCCTCCATCCCCACCTAAACCATATGTTAACAACACACATACATTTGCTGCTGCTTCATCTGATGTTCAACGTGACTACATGACAGAAAAACTCAACAGGTAAATCATAGAAATTAAGATACTTCAGGGATAATGTAATTAGAAACAATTTAGAAATTTTTATGATTTCTACTACTCTGTCTATATTTGTTTCTATTCCAAATATATTTATTTTTTGTGACATTTCTATAAAGAATCAAAAAATTGCCTATGTATTTTAAGCTACATTCACACCAACGGCGAATGCCACGCTTTAAATCGGCGAGCAAAGCGCCGTCATTTTTGTCATTTTTGTTCATACCAACGGCGCTTTGATGGTGCTTTAAAGCGGCTTGTAAAGCGGCACCAAAGTGTAACAAAGCTTGATTAAAGCGTCGGGGTCGTAGAAAAGCTCGGAGGAAAGCGGAATATTCTAAACTGTTCAAAAATTGTGGTCGCTCTGTTACGAATTGATTAAAGCGCCGAGAGCGTATCAAAGCTTAACAAACCATAACAAAGCTCAGAAAAGCTTGATCCAAAGCGTAGGAAAGCTTAACAAAGCTCTGATAGGTTCTTCACGCTTTGACTAGGCTTTGTTACGCTTGAAATCACGCTTTGATAAGCTTTGGTAAGCATTATTGCGCTTTGAGGCGATTATGACGCTTTAAATCAGGCTCTGATACGATTGCCAAGCTCTGTTGTGCATTGTTATGCTCTGTTAAGCTCTTTCAAGCATTGGAAAATGTTGAGATCGACGATTTCTTGCCGCTTTTGATCCAATGACTATATAAAGATGCAGTTGATCCATAAAACCATTGCATCTTTTTAGTGCTCTTGCCGAATATCCCGCTTAACTCCAAGCTCTTCTACTACCTATTACGACCCCGACGCTTTAATCAAACTTTGTTACGTTTTGGTGCCGCTTTACACGCCGCTTTAAAGCGCCATCAAAGCGGCGTTGGTGTGAACGTAGCTTAAAGTAAAAAATAAAGGGCAGACTCTGATATATAGGATTAGGGAGTGACAAATTTGCAAAACCAACATGTAGAGTTGACCTACCAATTACATGTATTTTTCTCACAATCTAAATAATATCTGATTCTGCCTTGAAGAATGATATTTTATTGCTAAAATGAAAGAAACAATAAACATGTCCTCATCTTAATTTAAATTCATGTAAAATGGAGGTCATCTCGTTGTCAGTTTTCTCTCCCGGGTGTGTAATCAGTAATAAGGAATGTTTTTGTAGTGCTGTTTGTTTTCTTGTAACTGTTTTTGATGAATAAGAATTTGAATTTATTTATATATTGCACAGGCAGAAATGCATCTTTGATTAATATAAATGAATTTTCTTATAATTATTCATTTAATTAGCATGTTCAAAGGGTTAACATGGAAACAAATATTACAAGGTTTTCACTTGTAGATAATCATACCATAGATTTCCTACAAATGTAGAAACATTGTTCATGTTATATTCATTGTTTGGTATAACTGTCCAACCACTGATTGCCTATATACTAGCTGCCTAGGTCTAACTAAATTCTGTATATTTGTTTGTCTATTGAGGCTGAGAATCCCTACAGATGTTTTCTAAGGCTGGTTTTCTACTTTTGTTGACATTTTGTTTAGAGTAAGGTGATAAGTGACTTTTCTGAGTTACAGCTGTTCACATTGTTGGAAATCCCAATATGATCACTTGACTCAATGATTCAGATTTCAGACATAGGCCAGGATAACGAAGTTAAGTTCTCCATAATATCATAGATCATGCAGAACTTCCCAGCTATCCATGATTAGAAATACAGTAGTAGCTAAAACACATGGTATATCTAGCCCCATAAAGCCTTTAAGACACTATAGAATACAACATTGATGATCAACTGTATAATTTATGTTCTCTTTTCTCAATATTTGGACAATTTATGTTCTATTTTCTTGAACAATGGCCAAAGGCCTTTGCCACATTGACAACAATCTGTGATTTGACATTTAAGTGTGGAATTTATCATCAATAAACTTTGTCATTTTATTATGTCACCACCACCAAAACTGGTGACATATTGTTATGGTCTCCGTTTTTTTTGCGACGGCGTCCGGCGGTTGGTGGTTGGAGGTTGGCGTCCGGCGTCTGTAACAATTTCTTACAACTTCCTATAACTTAACAAATACTGTTTAGACTGACTTCAATTTTTTTCTAAATCATCTACATGTTCTCAGAAGTTCAAATCTGACTTTAGATTTGACATTTGACCTTCAATGACCTTCTCAAGGTCAAAAAGGTCTTTTTTCAACTTGCTTCACTTTGACTAAATTTTTTTTAAAATCATCTACATGTTCTCAGAAATTCAAATCTGACTTTAGATTTGACTTTAGATTTGACATTTGACCTTCAAATCTGACTTAAGATTTGACATTTGACCTTCAATGACCTTCTCAAGGTCAAAAAAGGTCAAAAAGGTCTGTTTTCAACTTGCTTCAAATTGACTAAATTTTTTTTTCAAAATCATCTACGTGTTCTCAGAAATTCAAATCTGACTTTAGATTTGACTTAAGATTTGACATTTGACCTTCAATGACCTTCTCAAAGTCAAAAAAGGTCAAAAAGGTCTTTTTTCAACTTGCTTCAAATTGACTAAAATTTTTTTTCAAAATCATCTACATGTTCTCAGAAATTCAAATCTAACTTTAGATTTGACATTTGACCTTCAATGACCTTCTCAATGTCAAAAAAGGTCAAAAAGGTATTTTTTCATCTTGCTTCAAATTGACTAAATTTTTTTTTCAAAATCATCTACATGTTCTCAGAAATTCAAATATGACTTTAGATTTGACATTTGACCTTCAATGACCTTCTCAAGGTCAAAAAAGGTCAAAAAGGTCTTTTTTTCAACTTGCTTCAAATTGACTAATTTTTTTTTTCAAAATCATCTACATGTTCTCAGAAATTCAAATCTGACTTTAGATTTGACATTTCACCTTTAATGACCTCAGGGTCAAAAAAGGTCAAAAAGGTCTGTTTTCAACTTGCTTCAAATTGACCAAATTTTTTTTTCAAAATCATCTACATCTTTTCAGAAGTTCAAATTTGACTTTACAAGTTCTCAGAAGTTCAAATCTGACTTTAGATTTGACCTTTGACCTTCAATGACCTTCTCAAGGTCAAAAAGGTCTTTTTTCAACTTGCTTCAAATTGACTAATTTTTTTTTCAAAATCATCTACATGTTCTCAGAAGTTCAAATCTGACTTTAGATTTGACATTTGACCTTCAATGACCTTTTCAAGGTCAAAAAGGTCTTTTTTCAACTTGCTTCAAATTTACTTAAATTTTTTTTCAAAATCATCTACATGTTCTCAGAAGTTCAAATCTGACTTTACATTTGACATTTGACCTTCAATGACCTTCTCAATGTCAAAAAAAGTCCAAGAGGTATTTTTTCAACTTGCTTCAAATTGACGAATTTTTTTTTCAAAATCATCTACATGTTCTAAGAAGTTCAAATCAAACCTTCTTAAGGTCAAAAGGTATTTTCCAACTTGCTTTAAATTGACCAAATTGTTTTAGGTGGTGACATTTTGTCATGTTAATGCCTTGTTTTGAACTTTGAAGAATATGTCATTTATCATATAAAGAGTAATGATGACATTTTAACAAAAAGTGTTTATTTTCACACAATGATAACACAGTTACTCATTTTAGTTACTTAGTCTTAGATCAATGACTTTTCATTTAAAAGATCAATCTTAGTCCCCAATTTTTAGACCTATCTAATGGTGTGTGGGAGGGGGCAACCCGCATGTCCACCAATAAAAAGAAAAGAATTGCATACATTTACTTCATTTTCAAAATGTGACCTAAATCAAATGATGGCATACTTGTTTTGAAGATGTAAGAGATATTTTCAAATTTTAAGTTCAGAAAGGACCAATGGCTTTAGTGTCATGGTATTTGTACAATAATTTACATGACTCCAAGACATTAGTCTTATATTGTTGAATATATTACTAAATGCAACTACACTTAATGTTCTCAGCTGTACATTGAAAATCATTGTGTTTCTTTGTAGAGAATTTGCACACCTCATTAAGAAACATGGTGCCATGTCAGCCACAGACAATCTCATCCTGAACCACTACATTAAGCTACAGGATGATGAGAGACACCATGTCATGAAACAAGGGAGTATAAGAGGATTCCTTCAGAACTCAAAGTATCTGGAATTGCGGGGAACAATGTTGCATCTGAAAATAACCCCTCCGAATAGTCCACCCCCTGGTGACCCTAAGCAAAGCAGGTAATGTATGATTGGATTTTGAAATTATTAGAGCGCTTTCTATATATGTACAGGGTGATTGCATAAAAAATCATCCTTTCCTTCACAAAACCTTTCTATAGGTACATGTTACACAGAACCAAGAATTTTGTGCCTGTGTAATGCAGTGGTAACATTTGCTTCCATCTTTAACACTGGCCTAGCCGATGAGTATTTCCTTCAAAACTGAATGCACTTTTGAACAAAATACTCACTGGCTTCAGTTTTGAACAAAATACTCATCGGCTCCTGGCTAGTGATGAAAATAGGAGTAAATTTGACCACAGCATTACACCTCAACAATCCTTCATGATGGCGCTTTTTGTCAAAATGCTTTATTACAAAATGCTTTGTAACAAAGCAATTTAACCATGCTGTGTAACACTCATCTTCGCACACTCGGTCTTCACTGCATTCATATGATTGGAGCCGAGTGAACGAAAATGTGTGAAACCGTACCATAGTCAACACTTGCATTAGAAATTCATCAAAATTTAAACACTGATCTGTGGTTTTATATCTGGTGTTGTATGTAGTTGTAGTGTCTTAAACATTCTTCCCTCTTGGTTGTGGTATCTACTTGCAGATTCTATGCTTGCGAATAATTGCTTTATTACATTCAATAAAACCCTTCACATGATAGTTAAAATATAAAAGGAAGTATGTTAAGATATGAAATGAAATAATCATTGTGGTAAGCTATGTCTTCTCCATCTGTGTCACACAATGCTAGAGAGAGATATGGGTTCACCTGTAATGTGATTACAAGCAGCAACTTGGGGCAAAGCCAAACATGGATTTGGGGCAAAGCTTTGTATTTCCTGTAAATGCAAACAGAGACTTGATGCACATTTGGGCACAAATGCTATGTATTTTCCCTATACACAAAAAAGGGACTTGGGGTAAAGCTTTATATTTTCCTATTCACAAAAAGCGACTTGGGACTAAGCTTTATATTTTCCAATACACAAACAGGGATTTTGGGCAAAGCTTTATTTTTTCCAATACACAAACAGGGATTTGGGGCAAAGCTTTATATTTTCCTATACACAAAAAGCGACTTGGGGCAAAGCTTTATATTTTTCCATACACAAAAAGTGACTTTGGGTAAAGCTTTATATTTTCCTATTCACAAGAAGCGACTTGGGACTAAATATATTTTCCAATACACAAACAGGGATTTGGGGCAAAGCTTTATATTTTCCAATACACAAACAGGGATTTTGGGCAAAGCTTTATATTTTCCAATATACAAACAGGGATTTGGGGCAAAGCTTCATATTTTCCTATACACAAAAAGCGACTTGGGGCAAAGCTTTATATTTTTCCATACACAAAAAGTGACTTGGGGTAAAGCTTTATATTTTCCTATACACCAAAAAACAACTTGGGGCAAAGCTTTATATTTTCCAATACACAAACAGGGATTGGGGGCCAAGCTTTATATTTTCCATATACACAAACTCACAAACAGAGACTTAGGGCAAAGCTTTATATTTCCCTGCTTCTATTCCTGCTTTTAGTTCTCAAATGTCTCATTTCCCTGGCTACCAATGTGGATATGGAGGAGACCTGTTGTCAGGCGATCCAGACCTTGAGGATGAGGATGATGATTTAGAGGAGGGTGAGTTGTTTCACAGGCATAATGACTTCACTCAAGGATACCTATGTGGGTTTGTATGCCAAATCTGAATTTATAATCGCTTGCGCCACTTTATCTGCTTCCTAGAATAATTATTGAATCTCATTCTGTATCAGGGTGTTAACATTAACTGTAATTTGTAACATAATGCAATAATATAGACCCACTCTACTCTCAAATGGTATAGATGTTATTTAAGATATGGCCATTCTTCTGTCAGTAAAATAAATGCGCACATGAATGTTGAAATCTATTTTTTAAGTTTGCACTGTGAGGGTTCGACTGTTCATTAGTCTGTCTATCAACACCAGTAGCAAAAACCGTTGACACTTAAGTCTCGTTAGGAAAAAAATATGACTGCTTCTTGATGTTTTTCTCTTAATTTGTATTATTTATTTATCACTGCAGGGGTTTAACTTGTAGAACAGAATATTTTCTCTGTATGTTTTATTGTTTTTACAAGAACTGCGTGTTACCAATGTTATTCATTTTGCATGATTCCAAAAATTGAAAATGAAACCCCTGCCATATATGTGCTTAAATGATATCATCTGGTGCCATTAAATTTTCAGTGAGTTTGTTGACTTGCAAGAGATGGTACAATATTTAGTATTCACCTGTGTATGAATGGTACATAAAAGAACAACTGAAAAATCTCAAATATTTTACCATTTAAATTTTTCTTTCAGCATTTCTTGAGGCGAATTCTCCATCTAACATGCCAGGAATTGTTCCCTTAGTGCCATTAGATGTTGGAGATGGGCCAGTCAAATGTGAAGAAGATGCAAATGAAGCTAGTGAATCAAATCTCAATATTCCTGGAAAAGAGAATGCTATTTCAATGGTACCAGGAGGTAGTAAAGATAACATACTAAGTGGTGCCATACATGGATCCCAGGATAATACACAAAACGGTGCTATGAATGATGGGAATGTGCTTAACCATGGTAATGATCTGATAGATTGTAGTGCTACAGACCAACATGAAAAACCTTGTACATCTAAACTAGAGCAAGAGACAATTCAAGATCCTAAAAAACTTGGTAAAGGAAGTACTGGGTTAACATTACAAAGTGTCAACCATATAGACCCTGGCTTAGACAGTCCATTGAACAAATTGGAGAAATTTGAATTTATTGGACTGAATGGGATTTCCAAGATTATGGATGAATTTGAACTGGCTGCAAATGATATTGTAGCCGAAGCAATACTTGGTGCTAAGAAACAAATGCTTGCTGAAAAGGAAGAGGAATACAGGGCAAAGGAACTTGAAATGAAAGTTTTGAGGATGCCCGAATTAGCTACCAGTCCTGAAATGCAGTCTAGATTTGATAAGAAAATAGATGATATTATCAAAATGGGCAAAGAATTGCAATCTTATCCTAAAGGTGCTAACAAGGAAGCTTGTTTTGAAGAGCATGCAGACATTGAAATGGAGAGTATTACAGAAACTTCCAAAACTGGGGAGGAGAGTGTAACAGCCGCAGAAAGACATGATGGGGATGAGAAAGTAACAGCCTCTGCAGTGAATACAGATGAAAGTGTAACAGTCTCTTTAGATAATACTGACAAGGAGCCTGTAACAGACTTTGGAGAGAGTGTTAGTGAGGAACATATAACAGCCAATAGTGAACTTATTACAGCTAATACAGCTAATCTCATTGTTGATGATGAGGATCAAAGTTGTGTGTTGGAACTTTTAAAAGAAATAAGAAGCAATATAGATGCCCTAAGTAAAACCAAAAAGAATAAAGCTTTGGAGAAAAAAGAATCTAGACTTTCTCTATTGAATGAACTCCTAACAGCTTTCAATGATGAATCGATGACCGAAGCAGAATTAGTTGAAAATATGAGTAAAGCCTCTAATATTGAAAGCAGAAGTATAACTATGAACCCCAATGTGAAGGAGTTTACACCTAGAGCATTCAGTCCACTCCAGAAATCATTCCAGCCCATTGGTACCCCTCCAAGACCCTATAGTAATAACAGTTCACTCAATGCATTCAGTCCTGAATTCAAGCCAAGGAATATCGGCACTCCCCTGACACAAAGTCCAGCACACACACAGACTGATCGTTTAGATTTGGTAACTGTGGCAACCAACACTAAAAAGACGAAACATGCAGACTGTGCACAACAGGTAATTATATTTATATGTACTTGTGTGTAAACAAATTGTATATGTATAATTTGATTCAGTCAGGATGAAACTGTTGCAAATATGCCTCATCGCCAAACCCATATTTATCTTAACTTCACAACACTTAATTTGATGAAACCTTCAGTCTATCTTATTATTCAGGCATGTCATTTTATGCAATAATTCAAAAACTAGGTGAACTGATTTAGTTCATATTTGGTTCCAAATTGAAAGCCTAATTATGCCAAAGTACTTAAATGACTTAATCATATCTAAAGTTTGTATGACAGGTTGAGATGCAGGAGACCAGAGAGGTTATGATCAACACAGTTGAATGTCTCTTTGATGGCACCTCAGACTTCCACATTCCAATCATCAAGACAAAGGATAAGGGAGTTCATGCAAAGGTAAAAGACCACGTGCAGTATGGCAAGTGATTTTAGACGGTCATATCTTTCATCATGAGTACTTCAAAAAGTGAGTGATATTACTGTCTAAAATCACTTGCCACTGCACATGAACCTTTATAATACATTCAATACATGTACAGTGAAATCTGACTAATCCAAACACTCTTTGAGACTGGCCAAAAGTGTTTAGATCAGTAGGTACTCGTACTTCAAGGTGTTTATGTCACCACCAAAAGTGGTGGCATGTTTAGGTCTCCAACTTTTTCAGTAGGTGTTTGGTGGTTGGTGTTTGATGTCTGTATCAGCAATCGGAAGTTTTTTCTGTAACAGATGGCAGCTGGTGACATTTTACATGTTAATGCCTTGTATAAACATGTGAGTCAATGGGACAAAAAGTTCACATTGGGAGGTGTTTAGATTAGAGAGGTGTTTGTATATACTGCAGTTTCATTGCAGTTGTGATGGTGGTGCTTCTATATAATCTGAAGGTGAAGAAGTTGTTGTGAAATGTGCATTTTACCATGCTTATTTCAGCCAAACACCAATGACAAGGTCACCTGTACAAGGAAAGAAATGAGCTCAGATGTGGGGTCCAATACAGAGTCAGGCTTTGTTGAATGTTTGGCAGAGTTTGCGGAGATGAAGGAAAGAGCACTCAATGCAGAGGTAACATCAAATAAAAAGACATCTTAGTAACTTCACAGTGACAAATCAAAATTGTAAAGATGCTATATAGAATTAAAGATTTTTGATTGTATAAAAATGTCCCCACTTTTCAAGTCCCAAGAAATACTTCTTGAATGAAAGAAATATTTTCAAACTTTGCACAGGACCTTTAAGTTGTAATGTTAATGCTTTGCAGGTGAAGGTTTTGACCCTGATGAGCCATTTCTGCCAAGATACTATGATACAGATGTATTATGAACAACACTACAAACATCAGAGACATCGCCAACTGTTCTCTGCGAGGTAGATCATTGAAACATGATTTTCTCAATGGTGTTGTTTTATTGCAATTTTTGGCCATTTTGTATGTAGTTTTCAACACCAAAGTCATGACTTAATGATAATTAAAAAAGCTATACTCGAAGTGAAATGAGAAAACTACAGATTTAATAGTGATTATTGTATCCAAAGTTTAGATCGATCCTCACAGGTAAAATCATGAAACATAAACCTCAGCATTTGACACAGGCATTGCATCAAGAAGACTAGAATGTCACAGGTAAACAGATTGAATGTTAGGTCATTGCTTGTTTATTATGATAAGACAGATATTGCAGTCCAGTCTTTCATTTGTTAGTTCACCTGCTGAAGTGGCATTAGATGCAGAGTACACCAGCATGTTAGCCCAGATACAAGGCAACATCAATGACATACAACAGTCCTACAAAGAAAGCCTCGCCAAGTTGATGTCTGGCAGTACACTATCTGACTTGGCAGATGTCACAGATAAGTGGACCTCAAGATTTCAGCTGGATCAGTTTGTGAGTACTGTGTAATCTGGAATCATTAAACTGGAGCATTGTGTAGAACATGTATATGAAAGTTCATCAGCAAGGGCCTGTGTTTTGGAGCAGATATGAAGTAGTCATCTATCTAGCATTGGAGCTAGCTTGTGTAATGGGCACTTCATCAGCTTGCCATTTTAAAATCGGGTTTCATACACCTTAATGCATAAAAATGAACCATCATGAAAAATTGTCATGTATTGACCAACTCATTAGAATTGTTAAAATGAGAAATATTTACGAACCTCAGGGAAAAATCCTTGAAAAACATAGTATAATGTATTTTTGGGTTTGTCAAATCTACACCAACCAAAGTGAGGGTCTTTCATAATAATGTTGTTCTTGTTTCAGTTAAATAGCAGTTCTATTGTGCCAGAGTTTCTACCTCCTACAAATGTTCCAGTCAGTACATCTATACCTTATGTATTCAGTCAGGTTGACAATGAAATTACCTGCTCCAAGCCTATCAACTCTATGCAAGGTGCACATGGTATGTATATTTCTCATTATTACTAATTGCTAATAGTGGTAGGACCAACTCTGGAAATCACTAGTTGACTAGTTGAGGCACAAAAGTTGATATGAACTTCTATTTTTTTCATATTTTTTTCCCTGGGAATTTGACCTTCAAATATCATTTTTGAAGTCGACTTTCTGTGAAATACAAGTTGCTGCCGACTTCTCGACAAGTTGAAATTTACAAACAATGGCTTAACTGTAAAAATAAACTTTCAATATAGCATGGTGGTCGAGTCCCTTTTTCCTGGCTATCTATTAGATTGTAAAACAATCAATGGGTAGGCTCCAATATTATGAGATTGAGCAACTACAGGGTGGTCCAAAAAATTGGAACATTTGTTAATTGAACGCAAAACCTTTATTTTTCCTCTAAAATGCACCAAAATTTTACTGAGCATTGTTCAATCACTTATTTATCTGATATACAGTTTATAGGTGAAAACCACAAAGTTCATGCATTAAACTAGTCAATGTTTCATAGGACCCCCTTTTCTCAAATAGACACGTGTCAATTTAGCCGCTTCTTTTTCAAGTATTCTTTATTTCAAAGCTTTAATGAACATGATGATTGCTATACACAATTTATAAAATCATATTCATTTGACAAGAGGTATTAACATCTATGGTTTACAAGAAAGCTACTGTGTCATCATCAAATTAAGAATACCCCAAATCATCATTTTTTTTAGAGTAGGAAAGAAAGAACATGTCAGAGGTGAGAGATTGCATAACCCATACAGCTACTAAAGCGACAAAATCACTGTTTCCATTTTCAGTAAAGAGGAAACAGACCAGTTATTTACAAGACTTTATTAAAGACCAATTCTAAGTATATATGATATATCTTTTGTTTTCTGGGGGACTCCTTTAAGATATATACATATATTGATACATTCAATGAACATTATTCATATTAGAATAAGAAATGGGATGGGGCTGCATTTACCAGTCAAAATGGACACAAACCTGGCCTCTTTCTTGAGAATATTCAATCAGTAATACACCCGACAATAGCCATCAAAATATGCTTGATACCTATCAATTTAGGTAAAAAAATGTTGAATATGTTACTGGATTTGATCTTCCAAGGCAAACATATAAGAAGTTTGGTCAAGCTGAATTTTTTAATCAAGATTACTTGGACAAATACAAACAAACAGCAAACTGAATGAATCATTTCAAAACGGAGTCTCAGGCTTGAACTTATAATTCAGGAGAAGAGGGGTCATATCAAACATTGTCTAGTTTAATTTATTAACTTTTTTGTTTGCACCTATAAACTTTAAAAAGATAAATAAGTGACTGAACAATACTCAGTAACATTTTGGTGCATTTTAGAGGAAAAATAACGATTTTGAGTTCAGTTATCAAATGTTCCAATTTTTTTGGACCACCCTGTAGGTCATACCAAGGTCACATGTTTAAGCCAAGGTCACTTAAAGATCATATGTCAATTTATAGGATTTGCATATAAAGGCGGGCGGGTTTTAAAGTTGCTAGCAACTCCCATTAAAATATCAGGTTACAACCATTGCACAGAAAGTCAGGATTAGTAAGTTTGATTAACAGCATTGCTTGATAATTGATTTTGATTGGCTGAGCTTCAGGACTTTTAAATTTGAAAAATGTTATTTCTGTTTTTAAATGTCTTACCACAATCCAACAAAATGATAAAGTTAAAATCTTAACTACAGAATATGAACATCAAAGCATTGAAAGATACGCATAACAAAATCTGAAGCAATGCATTTCTCAATCAATATGAAATCTGAGAAAATTGACCAGCTTTGTGAAAATATCAAAAGTCCAGTTATTTTGGCTGTCTGCCTCCCATTTATACCCCATTTCCCTCTTTAAAAAGTTTCTGATATAGAGTAGTCAGAGTAAGGTCATCATTCACAGATACAGGTCAAGATTTGATCAAAATTCACCATTAACATGTACTGTATTTCACATTTTCATGTTGATACATGAATATTTCATATTCAGGGGACCTAGACTTCCACCAACGCGAACATCTGTTCAAGTTAGCAAAGATTATGTTTTTTATGAAAATTGGCGGCCATTTTAAAATTCAAATGTCATCTTGAAAATTTCTTCTCAAACAGAGCTCCTTTGTCCCTAAGCATCAGCATATGAATCAAATCTGTTCATTGGTAATTGCGTTAAGATTATGTTTTTTTACGAAAAATGGCGGCCATTTTGAAGTTCAGCTGTCATCTTGAAAATTCTTTCCCGAGTAGAGATCCTTTGTCTCTAGGCATCAGCATATAATATTTGAACCAAATCTGTTAACTGTTGTTTGTGTTTTTTACGTTTTTTTACTAAAATAGCAGCCATTTTGAAAATATCTTCTTGAGCGAAGCTTCTATCGATGTCCTTAGGAATTCAGGTTATAAAATTTGACCCAAATCCGTCAACTTGTATTTCAGTTATTAAAGATTTCATTTTTACAAAAAATTGTGGCCATTTTTAATTGAGCAGTCATATTGAAAATTTCCTCTCAAGAGAGGTTCTACGCCCATAAGGCATAAGCCTATTATATTTGAATCAAATCCATCAACCGGCATTTGAGTTATCGCCTGGACACACATGGACGAACTGATTGATGGCTTCTCTCTATCCCCCTTGAACTCATTCAGTTGGATAATTACTTGAGTGTTCATTTGACTTGAGATGCATTTGTTATTATTCCCATATAGGGAACGCCTCCATACATTTGCTGTCCATCCACCGTTAACTCAAATACTGTTCGATTTTGTTCATATTTTGTAGACATATACCCTATGGGGGTACAAATTCTGCTCAAAAGCAGATTTTGAAAATGGCCGCTCTTTTTAAAATGGCAGCTATTTTAGTGCCAATTTTACATTAATTTAGGAAAAATATATAAAACCGTATTATCAATATGTTTCAAATGTCAAAATGTTATTTATGACATTAATAAAGTGAGAAATGTAGATATTTAAAAAACATATGGCAGCTATCTTTCTTATGACATTTTGGCTACTGAGCGACCAGTTTGAAGATGGTGGCCATTTTTATGTGTGTTATTTTACCATATACCAGTGGAATTACCATTACAGTATGCATGTGTAAAACATAAACAATATTGGTTCAATAGTATTTGAGTTGTTGCCTGAATGGATAAGGTCATCTTTTGTGTGGTTGTCAATGAATAATTTTACAGTACCATTAAAAGCATTTTTAAAGTACTTGGTGGCTTGCTATCAATAGGAAGTTCACTGACTCTAGTATTTAAAGCCAATTCACAGAGAGTAACAGGGTAAACACAACTGGATAACTATCACTATCAGCTTCACTGAACAAAATATTCTATTTAAATTCAGATGTACATTTATGTTCATGTACTATGCTGTACATCAGTCTCAATTGATATATTGCAAATGAGTAGAAAAAGACTTAACTAGAGGTACAATAATAGACTTGGAAATAGAAATAAATCAAACAAAAATGATCTTATATCATTTTGATTCATGATTTTTTTTAGACATGGACAGTTGTATTGAAACATAGAATATAAACAATTGAAATACCCTAAACCTGAGACTAACATAGAATGATGGTCTCAGACTAAACTAAACTGAAGAAAAGTATTACTTGGAATAGTTACAATAGTTACAAAAAAGGAACATGCAGAAATACATTTCCCTGTTTGTAGGAACTCTTGGAATGTTTCTGGCAGGAGTTTTATATAGCTTTAACACATATGCAGTTGGACTGAAAAGCACCTACAACTATACACAGTCAGAGGTAGAGTTTATCGCTGCAAGCGGAGACCTTGGTCAAAGTATTCTTCTTTTCTTTGTAGGCGTTATATTTGACAAATTTGGACAAAAAGTTGCGTGTACAGTAGGTCTTATATTTACTGGAGGTGGATTTACATGTTTATGGATTATTGCACAGTTCAAAACATTTGGGTCTGCAAGGGCCTGGCTGGTCAGTCTTGTACAGTCAGTCGCAATGTTTGGTACAGCATTTTCCTACCTTGCAAGTGTAGGAGTAAACACTAAAAACTTTGAAGGAAAACATAAACTGAAGGTACTTATGAGCCAGGCTTGTATATTTTGGAATGCTCCATCACTATACAGCGCCATATATCAAGGATTCTTTGTACAAGGTCACATAAAAGATACTGAGAATCAAAAATATGGGGATTTTATGCTGTTCCTAGCTGTCATGTCTGTGATTATTAATTTGTTACTTATCACCCTACTTAAGGAGATTCCAAATAATGAATCAAATAAAAGTCCAGATGAAAGTGAAATGAACGAACTCTTCGAAACTTTACAAGACATGGCAGCTGATGACAAAATGGAAAACAAACACTTGAATGATCAAACTTCACTGATTCCAAATGCAGGTCAAAAAGAAACAACTGTGTGTGCACCAGATCTGAATGGATTGCAAATGATGAAAACATTGCCATTTTATTACCTATTTCTTATGCTTTTTACTTTAGGAGGAACAGGAGGAACGTTTGTCAACAATATCTCCACAGTATTGAAATCTGCTAATAGAGAACAAGACGTTGCAAGTTTTACAATATGCATACCAATTTTCAGTACATTGGGGATACTTTTTATTGGATTTATTTCAAATCAAATCTCTCTGAAATGGCCAGATGTCCCTAGATCCTCAACTGTGTTACCATCTGCAACGTTAATGTGTATAAGTCTCATTGAAATGATTTTATTCTACAATGGATTTGCTGGATTGTTCAGCAGTGCGATCATGATGAGTTTTGCATATGCAGCATTTTATGTACAAATACAATGGGTCATTATTCACTTATTTGGTTCAAAATATCTTGGACAGAACCTTGGTATTCTTTTGACAGCTCATGGACTTGGTGTATTTGGGCTCCAACAACTGTTTGCCTTTAGTTATAAACTCAACAGTCTTCCAGGATCAAACGAATGTTATGGAGAAGAATGCTCAAAATGGACATTCATTTTATTAGCACTTTTATGTTTTTGTGCATTGTTTTTAAACATTTGCCTTGTTAAAATTGAAAGAGATACCATTAATGTGAAAGCACAGGAAACCCTCTAACCATTCATGAGTAAACAAAACAATAAATGCTTATGATACTTTTACAAAGAAAGCTTGTGTCCTGGATGTCAATATATAATAAGACAAACAGCAATTAATAGCTTCTATTTTAAATAGGTATTTTGCAATGAGGAGAGCGCGATCAAGACCCCCTGGAATTTTTGCATGTTGAGCCGTACCACATACAGTAAAACCTGAGTTGGTAGTGAATACCTGTCAACAGTGAATGCTTTTTCAGCAAAATAAAGTACAATCCTATAGTGAACACCTACCTACTGTGAACAGTCAACACTAAATCTTGGCATATTTAATTTAATTATCCTGTCTCTAGTGGGCATTGAATCAGCTACATGATTTCTTGCGGATTTTCTGCAACTGCCTTATCAGAGTTAAGCAGTTTATGTTTGTTACCTGCCAAAAATAATTAAAAGGTCAAATTGAGATGTTTATCTCCTCTTCAATGAAACAAGTGTGACTCATTATAATTTTTAATAAGCTTTGTTTTTGTAGGATAGGATATGTGTCTAGGGCTTAATTGCTTTGTAGATAATCTGGTTAAGTGTTATTACCTCTGTACGCTAAGTCCCAACTTAATCTTTTTCTCATCCCCATCGATTTAAAAAACAGATTGGATTAAAATTATGATAATGATCACAGGATCGCGGGGAAATCCATATGTTATCTGATTGGTCATTAAATTTGTTGATCAGTATGGTCACCTGACCAAAGGAACTCAATTAATTGCAGTTCTGGAAATTCTAAAAGTAATTAACAATCTTCTTTGAATATGATTGGCTGCCTGGCTCAAGGTACACACCGAGTTTGCCAAGGCCCCTGTGCTCGTGTCATTTGAAAGGTCCACCATATTTCATAACTATCAGACTGATAGTCACAATGTTACAGCATTTTAAACAACATGCTCCAGTGGCCACTATTGGTATGTAAGCAAACACATCGTCCAAAATGTCAATACCTGACTTTTACCTGACTTTTCAACTGACTTATGACAAAAAAACCTCGAAGTTTGGAACTTTTTTAGAGATATGAAAGGTGTTCCCCTAAGACAGGTTTTACTGTTTATGGGAGTATCTTCTTTTTATGTTACAGACACTGATCTCAGACCATCAGCATTCAGGCCTCGTCATAAGAGTGCAGCTAGTATTTTAGCAGAACTACAAACACAAAATGCAAGCTTGCCTGCAGATGCATCTTCTACTACTGGCAGTGTAAATACTGATACATCACAGGGTGCTACAACACAGGTTCCTAGCAATGGTGGCTTCAAGAAGACGTTACGCCGCCCCAGAGTGAGGTTGGACTCTGAGAGGTCTGAAGCAAGCCAGCAAAGTGCAGCAGCAAGCTCAGTTACAGTCAAGTCATCGTCTGAGGCTCTCTCACCTTCCAAACTACCTCCTGGTTTAGGCTTAGATATACAGGTATTTCTGCTAATTACTTAAAACTAGACTACCAATATAGTGTCACTCCAACATGATTTTTACATCCTGCCTACAGTTGCTATTGATTTATTTTAAGCAAAATGGTATCAGACTTTTTGTAAATGAGGTATATGCACATAGCTACAATTCAGCAGTTCTTGATAGGGTGCTTTTTTCCACTGTTGACCAGAAAATGTATATTTATTTTTATAAATTGAGGTTTATTTTGATCGACGATTGTAATGATTTCATACTAGTATGACATCTATATTATATTGATTACTTACCTGTGAAATTCGATGTACTTACTCACCTATACACATGTATTGTGAATGTTTGTTTCCGTCATAAGCGTTGAGCAATTTTAAAAAACACTGTAAGTATAAATCACTGAATGTTGTAGCATTATTTCTTAGAGACATCATCTAATGTGAGTCAACTATTTGATAAAAAAAACCATGACATTGAGTCTATTTTTCATTTTAGAGTCCCGAGAGAAAAGAAACAAAAAGAAGAGTATTACGACCAGCAAAAACAAAGAAGTCTGTGTATACTGCTGGTAAAAGAAAACCTAGTGATTCAAATGAACAATATAGTGCAATAGGTAGCATGGAGCCAGCAGTCTCATCCACAAGCACAACTGGAAGCCAGCTCCTACCCGAGTCATTGCCCCAGTCTCTAGCATTAGGCCAAGGTGATCCTGGTCAAACTAAACAAACGACTAATGCTATGCCAGATACAGTGTCTTTTGCTAACAGTGGTCAACCGATTGATGACAATGCTCTATTAGAGCAGCAGATGTTTGAGCAACAACAGGTGCTACAGGAACAGCTTCAAATGCAGCTGTTATTACAGCAGCTTGGAAGTGAGAATTCACAGCAGCAGTTAGATATGGAGTCCATTGATCCTATGCTACAGCAGGCTGTGATGCTGCAGCTGTTACAATTGAACCCATCCCTAGCTGCTAATCCACAGCTGCTGCAGGTGTTGATCATACAACAGCTGATGGCTATTCAGGTACAACAGCAGAGTATAGAACCCCCAGCTGAAACGACTACAGCTGCATTACCTACAGCTGCTCTCAATCAACCTCATGCTGTCGGTCATCCTGAGCAAGAAGTCAAACAAGCAAATTCAGGTGCTATTAAGGAAGGAATGGGTTCAGCAGCAGAGGGCATATTAAGTAATCAACAAGAGAACCTTCTCTCTGCACTAGAGCTGCCTAGTCCCAGTGTTGAATCACAGGAGAGCTATCACTCGGCCTCTAGTCAACCCACTAGTCAAGCAACTACTAGTCATACAGCCACTCTTAGTCAGGGCACTTTGCTCACCAGGGAAACATCAATGGTAAATAAAGCTGCAATCCAGTCAGCCCCAGTGCAGCGAGAGTCAACCAGCAATGTAATAGCCCAAGTGGAGGCTACACCAGGCCTAGACTCTATCACTACTACACAGATCACAAAACCACTTCCTATCCCTTCAAACCAATCCAAGGTCTCATTGTTGGAACACGAGTCTCACAATGTACAGACCATTACTACTTCCAAGGCTACATCACATACCAATGACCTTCCACAATCCAGTATAAGCATAGATTTAGCAAGAAGACCAGAAAAGCCATCAGAATGCTATGTTCCAGATGAAGAGTTTGCTGTCGTAAAAAGATCCAAGAGAAGTAAAAGTAGCAGCCTGTCGCTGTCAGACAGCACACAAAGAGATAGAGAGTCAACACCTGAAAATTGGTGGGATACCAAGGACTCTTCAGAAGATTTGGCCAATTCACTCAAGGGCCACTGGAAAAGTGGACCAAGTTTCAGTGAATCTCTTGGTTCTAGATCTAACTCTCCTGCTTTGGGTGAATCTCCTCGAGATGCATGGTCAGTGAAGAAGGATTACACAACGCAGTTTGCTGCTCCACCAGTTGAGCAGGCAAACTTCCGTAAACCACTTCCCATCGTGGCAAGTTCTATCAACTCAGTTAAGCCAAATAAGCAAACCAGCAAGACAGCACCTTTAATAAGTGCTAGAGCCCTCTCAGGACAAAATACCCCTTCTCCAACATTGGGGCTGCCATCTGAAAAACCTGAAAAAACTATGCCATCAATTAAAAAGCAAGGTATGTGTACATTTCATAATATTGTTGACTTACATAGAGTCATTCTATAGTCACATGGCTCACCTATTGTTATGCATGGCTGCTGAATGTGCAGGGTAATATACAATGAGAAGGCAAGGAAATTGAAAAATCATTCTTTGTGTAAGAACATCCACAGGCACTGCTTGTGTACATCTAGTCAAGACAAACTTTCATTGCCTCAAAAGTTATTAGCATTTAAATATTCATTAACCATGTTTACCTAAGTTTGGTTAAATTAAAATGTTTTAATCCAGTCAGTTACTCCTTTCCTTCCCTTTGCAGATTCCAAAGATTCCAACTATGGCCTGGATGACTTTCAGGAAGTTAAAGTTGCAAGGAAGCCAGAATCTTCAGAGAATGTGGAAGATAACAAGTCTGACATTTGGACTCAGGTAGGAACATATAGACTGTCAGAATCTACAGAGAATGTGGAAGATAACAAGTCTGACATTTGGACTCAGGTAGGAGCATATAGACTGTCAGAATCTACAGAGAATGTGGAAGATAACAAGTCTGACATTTGGACTCAGGTAGGAACATATAGACTGTCAGAATCTACAGAGAATGTGGAAGATAACAAGTCTGACATTTGGACTCAGGTAGGAACATATAGACTGTCAGAATCTACAGAGAATGTGGAAGATAACAAGTCTGACATTTGGACTCAGGTAGGAACATATAGACTGTCAGAATCTACAGAGAATGTGGAAGATAACAAGTCTGACATTTGGACTCAGGTAGGAACATATAGACTGTCAGAATCTACAGAGAATGTGGAAGATAACAAGTCTGACATTTGGACTCAGGTAGGAACATATAGACTGTCAGAATCTACAGAGAATGTGGAAGATAACAAGTCTGACATTTGGACTCAGGTAGGAACATATAGACTGTCAGAATCTACAGAGAATGTGGAAGATAACAAGTCTGACATTTGGACTCAGGTAGGAACATATAGACTGTCAGAATCTACAGAGAATGTGGAAGATAACAAGTCTGACATTTGGACTCAGGTAGGAACATATAGACTGTCAGAATCTACAGAGAATGTGGAAGATAACAAGTCTGACATTTGGACTCAGGTAGGAACATATAGACTGTCAGAATCTACAGAGAATGTGGAAGATAACAAGTCTGACATTTGGACTCAGGTAGGAACATATAGACTGTCAGAATCTACAGAGAATGTGGAAGATAACAAGTCTGACATTTGGACTCGGGTAGGAACATATAGACTGTCAGAATCTACAGAGAATGTGGAAGATAACAAGTCTGACATTTGGACTCAGGTAGGAACATATAGACTGTCAGAATCTACAGAGAATGTGGAAGATAACAAGTCTGACATTTGGACTCAGGTAGGAACATATAGACTGTCAGAATCTACAGAGAATGTGGAAGATAACAAGTCTGACATTTGGACTCAGGTAGGAACATATAGACTGTCAGAATCTACAGAGAATGTGGAAGATAACAAGTCTGACATTTGGACTCGGGTAGGAACATATAGACTGTCAGAATCTACAGAGAATGTGGAAGATAACAAGTCTGACATTTGGACTCAGGTAGGAACATATAGACTGTCAGAATCTACAGAGAATGTGGAAGATAACAAGTCTGACATTTGGACTCAGGTAGGAACATATAGACTGTCAGAATCTACAGAGAATGTGGAAGATAACAAGTCTGACATTTGGACTCAGGTAGGAACATATAGACTGTCAGAATCTACAGAGAATGTGGAAGATAACAAGTCTGACATTTGGACTCAGGTAGGAACATATAGACTGTCAGAATCTACAGAGAATGTGGAAGATAACAAGTCTGACATTTGGACTCGGGTAGGAACATATAGACTGTCAGAATCTACAGAGAATGTGGAAGATAACAAGTCTGACATTTGGACTCGGGTAGGAACATATAGACTGTCAGAATCTACAGAGAATGTGGAAGATAACAAGTCTGACATTTGGACTCAGGTAGGAACATATAGACTGTCAGAATCTACAGAGAATGTGGAAGATAACAAGTCTGACATTTGGACTCAGGTAGGAACATATAGACTGTCAGAATCTACAGAGAATGTGGAAGATAACAAGTCTGACATTTGGACTCAGGTAGGAACATATAGACTGTCAGAATCTACAGAGAATGTGGAAGATAACAAGTCTGACATTTGGACTCAGGTAGGAACATATAAACTGTCAGAATCTACAGAGAATGTGGAAGATAACAAGTCTGACATTTGGACTCAGGTAGGAACATATAAACTGTCAGAATCTACAGAGAATGTGGAAGATAACAAGTCTGACATTTGGACTCAGGTAGGAACATTAAAAAATAGACTGTCAGAATCTACAGAGAATGTGGAAGATAACAAGTCTGACATTTGGACTCAGGTAGGAATGGATGTTTGATGGAATGAACCACATACAGGGTGTCCTGGAAGTAAAGATCCAAATGCTCTATTTTAAGGAATTTTACTTTTTGTGAATGAAATTGCTACAAATGGAAAGAGATCAAATGTATTTTTGTTAAAATTCAATATTGCGAGCATTTATACACTGCAATATCATATTGTCCTAACAGTAGCAGTCCCCCTCCTTCTTGGAATGATTTGTTTTGATGTGATGCCTTTGGCTAACACCATTTTATATTCAATCTACACGTAGGTGTCAAAGAAGAAGAAACCTACAGGTGGCACCAGTGATACAGTAGCAAAAATATACACAACAAGCAAGAATAAATCTTCCAACTTTGAGAGGCTAGTCAGCAAACTTATGGAAAACTTTTCAATTGCTAGGTAATTAATTCAACACCTGAACATATCATACTCAGTGAGTAGTGGTTGTTATGACTTTCAAGTATTGACACATTTATAGTTGAGACATTATTTTTCCAAGATCTTTGGAAGATCTTTAAGATTCACTTTTTACATCATTTCTTGTTTTGCAATCACTTTTGATATTACAGATTTTAACCTCATATTTCATCATTATTTTTTGAAAAAAATGATTCATTCTTTTGGAAAATGGTGAGTCACATGTCAATTGAAAATAATTTTTTTAGAAATCTACAAAGAGGAGTATGATGCCTTTTTTTGTTGCCATTGCATCAATGTTTAAAAGTTAGCTTGTGAAACAAACAAAGATGTAATTTGCTACTGTATTTCTAGAATTTAATTCATGGTTATAGGGCAGATGCAATAAATCTGATCTCTGAAGTCCGTGCCCAACATGGCAGTCTGAGTGGAGTTTCCATGAACCAGATACTGAAGGATGCTGGTACATGTATGAAACAAATGAATGCTGCAAAGGTACGCCTACTTGAAATATGCTTCATTCAAGACCTGATCGCACTAACGAACTTATAATATGGGGATAAATGGGGTTTGTTTTTCTTGACTAGTATGCACTTAGAGTTTGCTTTTTCTTGCTAAGTTCCATTACAACTTTTGGTCCTTTCCGTTTGGCACATGTGCTTAGATATTTATGGATCAGATTTTTCTAATCTGAGGCATAAATATGTATTAATCAAATTCTGGTTAAAGGCCTGAACCCAAAGTTGTCCAATAAGAAAACTATAAGTTTCCTTTTGGTACTATTTTGGAATAAGTTTCTCAGTTATGGCAGATTTTTCATTGATTTTCTTGTGTACATTTTGACCTTGAAATTAAGAGAAATTACAGTTTTTATCTGGGTAAGCTCTGAAAAAAGAGGGCTGTCACCCTGGAATAAAAATATAAATCAATAACTACTTTACATGCTTTTAGTCTGGAGAGGGATTGGTGTACACTGCAGAGGACTTCAAGAATATGAAATACAAGACTCTCATGTGTCAAGCCTGGCAACAGACTGGTGAGTGATTATTAAAGACTCATGTGTCAAGCCTGACAACAGACTGGTGAGTGATTATTAAAGACTCATGTGTCAAGCCTGGCAACAGACTGGTGAGTGATTATTAAAGACTCATGTGTTAAGCCTGGCAACAGACTGGTGAGTGATTATCAAAGACTCATGTGTCAAGCCTGGCAACAGACTGGTGAGTGATTATTAGACTCATGTGTCAAGCCTGGCAACAGACTGGTGAGTGATTATCAAAGACTCATGTGTTAAGCCTGGCAACAGACTGGTGAGTGATTATCAAAGACTCATGTGTTATGTAATAATGTTCAAGAATTAAAATTGCATCATTTTCACAAATATTGTAATTTTGTAAAATAACCTGATGTATACAAAGTTATAAAATGAGAAATATATCATGATTTAAAAAAAGACTCGTGTTAAGCCTGGCAACATCATATTATTAACAAGACTAATGTATTATGGCCACCGACTCATGAGTGATGAATAAAAAGTTAGACTCGTGTGTCAAGCCTAGCAACAGATTGATGAATCAATTAAAAGCAAATGTCAAGCTTGGCAACAAGACTGTCAAATGGATAGGAAAGAATATCCCAGGATTGTGGAATAAGATTCAAAAAGAAAATTGACAGATCAGATCAGATCATAGCACATTGTATGTTGTGTCTTTCATTCATTCATTGTAGGAGTGTGTAAGAAGAGAGATGATTGTATATTTGCACATGGAAAGACTGAGCTGAGAAAACTCCCTAAAACCCAAATGTGCAACAATACAACATTCTTTAAAACTGGACGATGTCCATATGGTGCTTCCGTAAGTCCCCCATCCATGTAGATTAAGGAATCCCAAAAACATATTAATGCACACCAAAAGCGGAATTTATTTTAAATTTTTAACCAAACCACCCTTGATGGAAAATGAAAAACGACATATGAAATTAAGTTCTTATATACAAGATAATGATTGTACATGTACTCTAAAAGATGAATTGCTGAAATAATAGTGAGGTTAAGGTACACATTATTAAGATAACTTGTATGTGATCTTGAGAATTATGGTCCTCTAGGGATAGGTTCCCTCTTCTAATATTTACTAATGCATGCTAATTAAGTATAGAGGCATAAGAAAAATGGTTGTAATAAGGTCCCTGGAAAAAATACTTGAGAGGGGACAGTAATATTTGTGTTAATATCAAGATAACACACTTGTGTTCAAGTAAAATGTGTAACTTGACCTCCATATTTGAATTTGCTTTATTGAAACAATTTGAAGCAGCTTTAGTGTTTCCATTTATCTTCAATTTGAATATGTCATAACAAAGTGATATACTTGTTAACTCTACATTGAGTGAAATTTTTGAAAAATGATGTCTCTTTATTCCAGTGTGTGTTTGCTCACAGCTCAGATGAGCTACAACCTTTGATGCAAGCTGTTCCCATGACAACACCACAGCAGCCAGCAGTCCAACAAACCACTAACCCCAACAATGCCAATTATGCAGCCATTGTCAAGCCTAAGGTCATCAAGACCAGCAATGCTTTTGGTGCTCTTGATGATAATGAGGTTTGTTTCTTTCCTTTTTACGTCACCACCAAAAATGGTAACATATTGTTATGGTCTCCATTTCTTGTGACGGCAGTTGGCATCCAGCATCTGGTGTTCGGCATCTGTAACAAATGGCAGGTGGTGACATTTTGCATGTCCATGCCTTGTTTATGAATTATTAGATCCATATACTGTAGTACTGTGTAATTTAAGTTTATCTGTTCTTGATGGTGTCTTCTACAATTTTTACTTCATGGTTGTGTCACTTGCTGTCATGTTATTGCAGAGTGACAGTGATGGTGAAGAGTGTGCCATTTGTTACTGTAATATGAAAGAGGGACATGAGAACACATTGGACTGTGGACATGTATTTCATGATGAGGTGAGTATTGCTCAATTATTCCATAATAACATGTTTTCCCTGGGAAATAAACAGGGGATAGAAAAAAATCCTGTATCAGATCCTGTATTAGCCAAAATCCCGTATTAGAAAAGATATCATGAAATGGTTATTGATTGATGGTCTTTTCTTGGCCAATATCATATTTTCCCTTGAAATGCAATTCATATTCGCATTAAACAATCTCTGTTTATTTCATTTTATTTTCATTAAAACCATGTGTTTTCACTGAGTATGTTCATCTTTAGATTGCAAGTGTTTTGTCCATTTGATAGGATATCTGACAGAGATGTCACGGAACAAAAAATCGGAACGGTTCGGTTTGGAACATTTTGCTTCGGAACGGAACAATTTCGTAACGGTTCGGAACAGAGTGACTGCGTGTATAAGATTAAAATAAGTTGATCATCTAGGTCTACATGTATTTGGTAGCGAAAAGCTCTTCAAAACTCTTCAATGAGGAGTGAAAAGAATGAACCTCTTTTGGTGCAAAATATTGAAAGAAAAACGTGTTTTGTGGTGTTCAAGGGCCAAAAGTTGTGAAAGGGTAAAATGTTCTTGTTCCGGAACCGAACCAAAATTCTCATTTTGTGTTCCGTTCCGAGGGCATAAGTCCACGGATTGGAACAAAATCGGGTATCCGTGACACCTCTAATATCTGATTCCTCAACTTCTAAGAGATACTCAGGGACTGCTTTTTTGTTGCAATCCAAAAATTTATAATAATACAGTCATATGATATATTTTTTCTGTACGAGGTGCAGCCTTGCAAGAATAGAATATGTGAGAAACATTGTTATGAATCTGATGACTTGAGTTTAACGTAATGTATTTAATGAGAGCCAATGTATTTCAGTGCATCAAGAAGTGGGTGCTTGGAGAGGAAAGGACATGCCCACTATGTAGAAAGCTGACATTATTTCCTGATGAGTTCCCAAAGCTAGGGAAGTAATATGACATAAACAAAGTAATGTGACATCTCATCATAAGTGCTCCCATTATGTTAAAGGCAGAATCAGTAACATTTCCAACTTTGTCTCAATTTTAGAATATTTTGAGATCATATCATTCCTCTTTATTTTCTAAAAATTTTAAAAGTTCATCCAGTACCTCATTCCAGGGAAACATGATACTGTTAGTCATACTTAATTTGGCATATTGACCCAAATTAGAAAAAATGTCAAAGATACGTAGGTTCTTGTTACCTCTTGCCAAGTATTGGATGTTATTATTGTGATTAAAATGGTCCAGTTTATTGGATAAAATCAGACTGGTCTTGAACATTAAACATTTGAACTTTGATGCACTATTCTTCCAAACACAGAAATGACACTTGACAAAATAATTCTTTTGGGATTTCTGAAAAATTGGCAATATGAATTGGCAACTCTTTTTTCAAAATCTGCGCCAAATTAAGTAGAGTAAAAGTATTTGCATTTTGTACTTAGAATCTGAAATAGCTTAACCATCTGATATGGTATCATGCATAGTTTAGAAGATAATATATTTGAGAAGTAAAATGACACATTGGTAAATCAATTGTGCATATTGCTTGCAATTTTATTACTCCTAAACACTTGAATCTGCCTTTACATATGACTTCTGGCATGGCCTGCATTGTAAGCTAGTAAGCTAGTACTCATGCAAGACCAATGATATATACTACTGTTCTTAGTTATATACTCTAAATCAAAGGTGCTAGGATGTACTGTGCTTCTGTAAAGTGTAGGACTACAGCTCTTCATAAACTGGAACTTGAGCCTGGAGAATTCCAAATTTTGGAATAAGATTGGAGATTGAACCTACTTCTGAGACAACCCAGGAGAGGAACTTCTGCTTATTATTCTTCATGAAGAAGCATACATTATATTCATTACATACATATCATCATCAGATCATGGTGATAAATTATTTTTTATATCTTTTGAAATTGCTTTTATATCTTTAGATTTTGTTAACTCTTTAAGTTCAGTCTATTGAGGTTGCCAAATACATCCCATGTCAAAACTGCATCATGGATAGATGCATGAGATATTTTGAAGAAAAATATTTGCTAAAAAATATTTAAAAGAGAACAAATGTCTTGACAAATGAATCGACTACATTTTCTGATGGATTATACTCAATCAAGACTTGACTATTGCAAATACATTGGAGCAGTTCAAAATTCCTTATGCTGGATTGCTGACTAAACTAAAGCTCTTCCTTCTTATATTAAAAAAAGTATGATCTGTTGATTTTTTATATTGAGCTCTTTAGATCTATAGAGTGAATGTCATCTTTGAAATGTTGATTTTGTTAAATACACCTACCATACTTTCTGTAATGAGCACACAGTTTGGTATGTGCGCTTATTGGAATCTCAATAACTTGGTCTTCTAAATTTCAATTTGAGAAGTGCATTGTGTGTTCAATAGAGAGAATACGGTACTACTTGCATGTTACAGGGTGGGCCAAAAACGGCCCATTAAGCAATTAGAGCAGTGCCATATTTGCAGAGACCATTGAAAGGGAATTCAATTTCCAGTGATTTGACAAATTATTTATTAAATAGTTTCAGTAAAACTAACGTGTTGAACTTTTATTATTTTTTGGAATTCTCAAATCTTGCAATTTGGGAGTGTCATTTTGACAAGTTTACCAGATATAAGTAATCAAAATGTAACAAACTCAGGAAGATGTACTAGTAAATGGAAAAACTAATGTAGTATATGTTTTTTTATACTTTTTCTCAATATAATGGGGAATCAGTTTCCCTCATAAATATAATTTCATGAAATTTCCAAATGATATATCATATTCATATATCATATACTAGCCTAGTATAGTCTTGGAAATTGAATTCTCATTCCAATGTTGCATACTATTATCCTATAATACTGCAAATTACATTTTAATGTAGGGGTAAATACTCAAAGGAGACCATTTTTATTGGCCCACCCTGTATTTAGCTAGCAACCCAGCATATGATTGCTCTTGCACAATATATATTTAGGCTAAGTTACATTATGTATTCAATGCAGCATTACAATCATTTTGTAAGTGAATCAGTGTTTAAAAAGACGGAATATTTTTGTAATGAAGCTGTTAGTTAAACAAATATAGTAAGCATATTAAAGCTATATTATCTTTGTCTTCACTGCATTGTCCTAGTCAGACTGTATGTTAGAGAAAATGTTCAATTCCTTTTTGATAATATTTATTTACTTTTTTACACGCAAGTACTTGGTCATTCATTTTTTTATAATGTAGCAGTGGCGTAGCGTGGGTATTTTGTTTGTGTTCGCCACGAGTGAGCAAAAGCGAGGGGGTGGGGTATAAGAAAATTTGAATATGAGATTGCATTTGAAGCGTTCTGGGGCATTTCAAAATACGAAATTACGACTAATATGGGCTAATGAAATGTAAATTAATGGCTAGTTGGTTCTTTGAGAATTTGAAAATGAGATTGCATTTGAAGCATTCTGGGGTGTTTTAAAAGACGAAATTCCGACTAATATGGACTAATGATAGTATTTTTAAAGTCTGGGGCAATTCAATATGAAAAACAATATTTATCCACTTTTTCTTCCCTGATTGAAGTGGTTCTATTGTAATATTTTTTATTAAAAACTCTGGAAGTACATCCTATAACAACAGTACATTTGACACAATGATTGACCAGATCCATCTCGATGGCCTAATTTATTTAGTAATTGATTTCAAATAGGAAACTTTTGCATTTAACTATGATTGATTATCTGCTCATTCCTACGAAATACGAAACCTTTGTCGTTTAGTTTGTCCCGTCATCGTTTCTGCTCGATCCACCTAATGGGGTGATAATGATTCCAGAAATTATCTGAGAAATATCTGCAGAAGGTGTGATTTTAAATTTTATGTTATCACTTGGGCCCTCATTTGCATGTCATGTTCGGGATTGAGATGATAACCCGAGGATGGTTACTCATCGTCTACCTACCATTCAAATAACACTGGATCATAATGAGAAAACGCACGTACTGTAACATAACATTATGTTTGAGTATGGAAATAACAAGAAACGCACTTAAAATTGTGGTCATCAGTGAATAACGTCGTCATATTTAAAGAGTAATACCACTGTGAATACGTAATGTTTGATTTCTTATTAGTAAACATCAATTTTGTAAAAACTATACATTTAACATGACAAAAATAGCTTTCCAAATGTAAAGGTAAGTCACTTCAAAGAACACGAGAATGCACATAACATCAGCCTACGTCTAGTTTAGTAACCAATTTGACAAAAAATGTATACCTTGAATTTCAGTAAAAACTAGAATGGATATAATCAAGGGGACACGGGCATCTGTTTGCCTGTTTTTTTCTTTTAAAAGAGTAAAAATTGACAGCGAAAACGTTGAATACGACTGACATGTGATGTAGCATATTGAAAATCGAATTAGGGCCTTAACAATAAATAAGAAATAAATCAACACACATGCAAATTTTGGCAATACGGTCGGTCTTACACATTTTCCTCAAACCCTGATTTGAGACTACCTGTGGCCCGGCCTGTGGAACACACCGACCGGTCGGTCGCGCGCCAGTCTTTATCGAAACCTACACCCTGACACCCCGGGAGTTCCGTCATGAGTGGACCATACGTCTTGAGTAGGATTTTGATCATATTTTCCAAGTGTTTCTTCATCGCAAAGTAAATGCTGAAAACACTTTATCAGTTATAGCCTACACTGAGCTGTAGCAAGACCTAGGATAAAGAGTTTGTACGTACAGTGTCGGATCAAGAAACTAACAAGGGGGGGGGGGGGCAAAATTTGAGCCAGGCATAAAAATCCCTCGCTTGCGCGGAAAAGAATGTTGGGCCACTACAACTAAAAATTGGGCCCATATTTTGAAAAATTGGCCTTTTAAAGGCCTAAATGCCCAAAAAGCCCCAATTTTGAGACCCTACAAAGTTTTGGGGGCCTAAAATTTTTTCTAGGCCGATATGCCGCCACCCCTCCCCCTCTGGATCCGCCAGTGGTGCAAAACGATGGGCAAAAGGCTGAAAACGTCAGCAACCCGGGGTCAGCACTCAGGCACATCTTGGTTTTCCTCAGGTGTGGTATTTTCGTTTAGTGCAATTTCCCAGGATTCTCTACGCTGGCGCCATTTTGCAAATCTTTCAAAGAAGTTATATTCCACTCTAGGTCGGTATATCGCAATCTCCAACCAAAAATGTCCCCTGGCTAGTAAAGGTGTGGGGGGGATCCTGCAAAGACACCAAGACATACTGTCGTGTCGTCCTGTAAACAGGTGGTATCTGTGTCTGTAAAAAACTTCATGGGAAATTCAGTTGTTTTGAAATTTAGGCCTACGAGTAACGAGGCAAATAAATTTCTCTCAGGACTCAAGGCTTTGCTTAGGCTTCGGCTTAGGCCTAAGCTTAGGCTAGGCAGTAGGCCTAGATCTAGGAGCCAATATCAGTGTCCTAGGTTTAGCGTTACACTAGATATGTACAGTAACCCTTTCGCATGCCTGTGACTACACCTTACTTAGTTTGCACAAAGCTATCTCCTATCTAAGATGGCTATGTGCAAATATAGTAAACTACACCCATGGTTAACCAATGTCGTGAACCAATGTCATGAAATTTTGAAACATAAAAACATTTGTTAATATTATAGATCTAGGCTAGGCTTCTTGGATAAGCTTAGGCCTAGACTAAAATCAAAGTAGTCAAAGCTTTATCCTTTTTGATTCAGCTAGCTATTGTAAACACCGACAGATTTGCCATACAGACTAAGGCATAACAATGGGCCCAAAGAAGAGAGGTAGAAAGAAAGTGATAACAGAAGGTAAGTTAAGAGTCAGAGATTAAGAATAATATTGTGGTAACCTGGTAACGGAGCAATTAAGAGTGAAATACTCTTTACTTACTAGATCTAGTCTTCAATGGTCTTGCTACAAAACTGAAGCCACCTCCCCATCTCCATGTGCTTTTGAACACAGATAGTGAAGTTGGTTGGGGGTCATAAGGCAAGGGCTTGTAGTCAGACCATTAAATTGTTTCTCTTCTTCATCCTACAGCAGGTAGGTGAACTAGCCCCTTTAGAAAAACATGAGATGATGATGATGCAGAAATTTTATAAAGTTAAGAATTCCTAAATCAATTGTTTTAACCGTAGTTGTAATGATGTACACATAAGTTATATGAGAACCTAAGACCATCATAAAATGTTTTATGTTAATGAGAACAAAGCAATTAGAAAATCTTAATTTGATAAATTAATTCTTAACCTGTTAACCCCCAAGTTATCAACAAATCCTCTGAATAATCTATCACAAATATGTAAATAATTGTGCTGAATAATATGGAAATAAATAACAATAACCTATAAAAAAATAATGCACGTTGCAAAAAATAAATAATATTATTTTTATGAACTTGTAATCTCAAATGTAATTATATTCTAGTATTTAAATGACACTGACATATACATGTATGTACTACAATGTCTACCATGTAGTACAATAAAACCTCATAATCCCTTACTTATTTTTCAGGGAAAGATCCACAGGTTGCTAAAAGCAAAGAACCAGATAGCAAACGACCAAGAAGAACATGTAGAACTAATGAGAGCCATGTAAAGCTTACCAAAATGCCTACTTTCACGACTTCACTCAATGATTCCAATAAAAATCATCCAGATTCTGAGGATTTTTTCCCACTTTCACAGGCAGGAAAACTTATCCCTACATTTGGCAAAAAGACCAAGAAACCTAAAGAGTTATCAAGTGAAAGTAAGGGACGAGTTATACTGGAAAATAATGAGGCCACCACTAGTAAGGATATTAATTATACAGGCACTAGCAATATTTATGCTTATGTAGCCAACAATGACAAATCCACGACAAAAACCAACTTAGATAAAATTGATAATAAAACCATAATCAACTCAGATATTGAAAAATTGAAAATTGACAGAGATGGAGTTGTTGATGAATGTCCTATAAGTAAAGATTCACACTTAAGTGCTATTATAGATGACATTGTTGATAATCTTTCTGAGGAAGCATTGAAAACTATTGATGAGGCTGACATTGGGGATAAGGATCAAAACAACACATCCCAAATAAACGATGATGAAAGGTCCCTCATCAATGAGAAGAATTTAGCTGTTGATAAGGTTCCACTTGATGGTGAGAACATGAAGATTCCAATTGATGACAAAAATGTTTCAAATAATGATAGTCTGAGCATGGCTCATCCAGTTTGTGTAAAGGAGAGTGGTTATAATGTGTCTTTATGCAAAGACAAAGCTATTGATGGTGATGATGGAACTAAGGATGGTAATGCCACTGGTTGTGCCATGACTAGAAACAATAATGCCAAGTGTGTCAACATTGATTCAACATATCATAATGACATTAAGGATACAAATAAGGAACAGGTTGAGGATCAAGTTGAAAAATACATTCCAAATCCTGAAGAGTCTAATAAAGATAATCCACAAGATGGTGATTTGAAACAAAATGCCAACATTCATTGTAGGGATATTGTCCAATATGTTAATGTTTTAACATCAGTCCCAACAATGGACACTGCACACTCCAAAGCTACCAACCTGAGAGTAAGTGAATTTGAAGAAAGGGACACTGGAGTTACCACTGTTTCCAACATAACAAATCACTCAATCACGCGGGACACTACCAAACTTGAACTAGCTCAATTACCAATTAAAATGAAACCAACGGAAAACAATAAGTCTGAATGTGAAAACATTATCACTGATGATGATAAGGCCAACATTACACAAGGACAAACAAATATTGACCTTTCCAAAAGCTTGATCAAGGAGGTTGTCAAGTCCAACTCCATAGTAAAGCCACCTGACAGCCCAAGGGAAGAAGACAACACCAGCAAACTACATGTTCCAACCACAATTGAAGGTTGTGACACCCTTCATGAAACAACCCCTGAATGTTCGAGGTTATCTAAAGCCAAGGAACCACATATGGAGTTAACCACTGAAGGTGCGAAGTCAAATTCTGTTACATTTGACAGCCAGGACTTCATGGATATAACAGACTCTCAGCTTTGTGACTTGGATGAGGATATGTTAATAAGGTATGAGGATATGTGATATGTTAATAAAGTATGAAAATATGTGATATGATTATCAGATTAATTATAAGAATAAGCTGATGTAGGCCTAATAATAGTAATATGTTTCTACAGTATGTGATATGTTATTAATAAAGTATTAGAGAATATGTGATATGTTAATAAATATGAGTCAAATAATTGTGATATGTAATAAATCATGAGAATATGAGATACATCAAGAAGGTAGGAGAAATTGTGGTATGTTAGTAAGGTATGAGAATATTTGATATGTTAATAAGGTATGAGTATATTAATGTTAATATTGTACCATAATATGTGATATTTCTTGTTAATGAGGTGAGGTATGAAGATATGCCACTGAGTTAATATCATATTAATCAAATAATTTAATGATGGATTGACAAGTTCAACTTATTGATCAACCTGTATTCAAATCTTTTCAAATAAATAGAGCAGTTTGTATTGTAGTTCCAGAATTGACGATTCCAGTTCCTCAACATCCATGCAAACTAACGATAGTTTAACAACCACAGGTGCACACCACAGTGTAGACCTAGGCCCACCACAGTTCAGTACTACAAGTTCTATGGGATTAACCCATAATTTACGATGCACCCCTACACCAGCTACTGTGGCACCCACCAAGGCACACCCACCACAAGGGAATTTCCAGCAAGAAGCTTCACTACAAGTAGATATAAAGACAACAAGGGAGCTGAAGAATTTAACAACAGAGTTAATGAGATTAAAGTAAGTACAATTTGGTTGGTTTTTACTGTTGATTATATTAGATAGCTGTATTTATTATCTAAAGGGTCCAATCACTGAATCAATGTTGTTTAGACTAGCTCTAATTATATCATTTCATGTTGCTTATATTGTTAAATCCACCATTTTGTGATGGCACACTGTTTTGGTGTCGATGTCTGTAACAAATTGCCTAATAAGCTGTTTTAGATAAGACCCTATTAACAAGATTTTCAAAGATACTAGAAAATCATAGGTTCAATATTTCAATATCAATGGTAACAAAAGTCAAATTAATGGACTGGGTTTCTAAAGTTTTAACATATGTACAGGCTAGGCCTTTTATATCTACATGTATGGTTATAATATAATTTCAGTGTTCTGTTGACCAAGACACAGAGAGACATTGATATCTTTGAGAAACAGAGACAAATCCAGAAACAAAGACAGTTAGAGAAAGTACAACAATGGTGATAATCTAAATATTATAAAGTTACGATACTGTACATAACTCTCACCCTAATTCGACTTTGACACAAAGCTTTATTGAACCTTGAAACAATCACTCATATAGAAAGTGAATATTCCTTTTATGTTGGTCACCAGAAATTATAGTCTCCAACTGGTGTTTAATGGTCAGAATTCGGCAACTGTAACAAATGGCAAGTGGGGAACATTTGCCATGTTAATGCCTTGTTTTAAATTGAAAAGGTGCTAGTTTTTCGATTTGGATTGGAACTCACCCCGCTTACTAGGTTACTCTTTTTTCAAGATATTTGCAGAATGGAGGGTTTGTGTAAGTAGCATAGGTACTATTAAGATACACATCGTTGAAAATGAAAAATATCCTAGGATTATTACTGTTGCATGTATTTTACCTTTCATCCTTGTCTAAATTGTTTGCTCAAAAATCATATTTCATTCACCATGATCAGCCTTCATGCTTGATCAATCAGTTACAGTTCAAATAAAAATACATACATCAAGTGAAAGCTTGAAAATATCTAGTAACCTAGTAAGTGGACAAGTTCCAATGAATCTACAGTCAGGATCTAACAATCAGCAAGATAAATCATATTGATGGGGTAATTTGAGTTAAATGGTAAATAACAGTATTATAAAAATACTATCATCATACTTCAGTTTTAGATAAAAAAAAGAATCATAATCAATATTTTTCTGTAATTCTTTGGTACATTGATTGCCTCAATTGCCTCATACACCCATGTTGTATAAATATTTTCAATCTAAAAAGTTTGACCTACAAGTTAGAAGTTGACCAAGTTACACCTTTGTAGACAAATCAGGATATGCATCAAGATCATATGAGTCCTTCAGTACTCATTATTCTGCCATTGATTAATCTGTTAATACATGAAGACAAAAATACACATCATTTGTACAAATAATTGTAATTTTGGTTTTATTTCATATGTACACAGTAAAATTCACAGGAGTATTTATTATTTAGTATCCTACATATTATTTCAAAAATAAACTTTGTTGTATTCAATATTTCATTTGTGATTTATTGCACTGTTTCTGATTCATATATCTACAGTAAAACCTGTCTTAGTGAACATCTGTCTCTAGTGGAAACCCTTCCTCCTCATTGCATACTGTACTTCTACTTAATTTGGTGGCTGTTTTAATTTGGCGTATCTGCCAAATTGTTAAAGTCAGTCAAATTAAGTAGGCGCAAATTCCCTGGTAATAGTACCATTGGTACATTGTAATATTGCAAGTCTGCCAAATAAAGTAGCTGCCAAACCTTCAAAACAGCAAATCCGCCAAAATAAATAGTGCCAAATTAAGTAGAAGTACAGTAAATTACCCTCTCTGTGGTGAATACCTACCAACATCGAACGTTCAATATACACAGGTTTTACTGTGTTATCTAATTACAGTTTAACAAAAATGGGAATATGTGTAAAGAAGCAGACGGCTTTCATTAGAAAGCAATTTCTAGTGGGTTATCAATTTTTTTCAAATGTTGGCTACATTTTTTAATGGTTCTTTATTTAACCACAGGCTGGTATCGAAATATTTGTCCGCTGTGACGGAGCATGCTATTTTTCATAAAAACACTAAGAATACTTCACGATTTATTTTTTAACTCATATCTTTCGTTATACCATACAAAATTACTTACTCCATGCAATGGATATATCATTTGCGGGTAACTTTCACTTCTGTTTGAAGTCCAATTACGTTGGGAAGAAAAGCTATTGAAAATGGCGCCAGAGTATCATACTTCAAAATGTACCATTTCTTGTTTAACTTTCTAATGGCACGATATAGTGACACGATAATATTTACACATGGTTTCAGCATAACTATGAAGGTATAGATGAGATGTTGATGTATTTGGTCTTTTTAATTCTTTTATAAAAAATAATGTTTAATTTTTTTGTCCGCTGTGACGGAGCAGTTGCAAATGTGAACTGCGAAAATGCTCCGTCACAGCGGACAAAAAATATTTATATTATTTTTTATAAAAAAAATTAAAAATATATCATGCCATTAAAAAGTTAAAAAAGAAATGGTTCATTTTAGAGTTTGATACTCTGGCGCCGTTTTCAATAGATTTTACTCCTAGCGTTATTGGACTTCAAACAGTAGTGAAGGTTACACGAAAATGATATATCCATTGCATGGAGTAAGTAATTATCTTTGATATAACGAAACATATGAGTTAAAAAATAAATCGTGAAGCATTCTTAGTGTTTATATGAAAAATAGCATGCTCCGTCACAGCGGACAAATCTTTCGATACCAGCCTGTGTTAACTGTCATGTTATTTTCAAAAAGTATTATTTGCCAGAAAGGTTATTTTATAAGAAAAGAACCATGTGGTAGCTATTTCGCTTTTTAGAAGTAAATTGACATATAATGTAGCATCATATGTTTTCAGTTTTTTATCGCCTGATTCTACTATTTAGATTTGCTTGTAATTTAATAAGCAAATATATTAATTACAATTATACAGTAGAAGAAAATATTATTCTAAAAAATAAATAATAATTCAAAACTTGCATTAGATGAAAGTTTATGGTTGTTTGACACGACACAGTCCATTAAATAAAATCCCTACACCAGCATTTTTTTGCAGTTCAATAATAACAAGAATCCTAATAGCAATATTGAGGTGGGCTTGAATTGGCTTTGAATGTTAAACTCTGGATTCAAATTGTCTTTGGTCAATTCAGTATTTATCTTTATCACCCAATATTCTATATTCCCAGTTTCTTGTAACTTGGGGAAGTTCCCTGCATACTCATCAGTGTATGTTTATCCTGGTGTTGCATATATTTCAATACAATGTACAACTAATGTAGCATGTTTCAGCACATGCTTATCCTAGTGTCTATTCTGCCCCAAGATACATGTATGAAACTCCTGCTGCTATAGTTGCTATGGCAGCACCAATAACTGCACCTGAAACAATTAAGATTAAGAACTCGCAATCTGATTGGCTGTCGCAACACTGCAACCGAATCATGTATAAGTCATTGCGCATAATAAGATCACGTGATTCAGTTTAATCAGGCGCTTCCAAATTGGTAATAGCAGGGGGGAAGAAGGAGGTATGGATTCTGGACACCTGCTTAGGAGGATGGAGGGCTGAAGAGTTCCTCCTTTTAGCAGCATTTGTTTTGCTATTCATTGGATAAGTTTAAAGAAAAACCTTGCAGTATGGACCCACAATCCTTGATTTTTAAACATCTGGTAGGTCTAAAACTCAAATTAATTTTTTTTGTGTATAGTTGGACCCCCATGAACATATTTCATGACCATCAGACTAATAGTCACAATGTTACAATACTTTAAACAACATACTCCAGTGGCCACTGGCCACTATTGTGCTTCGGGTAAACCTGCACAAGTCATCAAAAATTTCCCTACCTGACTTTTACCTTTGTGGATACACAAAGTATACACCAAATCACTAGTCAATGTGTCCTCCCAAGCCATCTTAATTTATGGGTCTGATGGATATTGAGTTAGTAAAAAAGATCGGTAGGGGTAGATACGCAAAGGTACTCTTCTAAAGTGCCTTAAAAGGTTTTAAGAGGATTACATAATTCCACACCTCTATTTGAAGTGCATTTAGGGTCATGTCTGAATAGAATTGCTGCTGTTAACATGGCCAAGGGAGGATACATTGACTAATAATGTGGTGTAGAATTGAATTTCATTTTGGCCAAACACTAAATTTTAAAATGACTGTAACTTTTTCCAGTTTGGGATTTGAACCATGATACTTTGCAAATCAATGTAACTTTGGATAAGCTTTAAAATGATATATGACACATACGATGATGACACTGGTATATGTCTGCCTAGGGAGGGGGGGGGGCATACTTTCGAGACACACTGTAGTTATATGTCTAGTTGATAGAGAATATTTGTAGCTCACCTATTTCCATATTAAAAGACTTTGATGTTGAACTGAGGGATTTTTGACTTGAGCTTGTGCTAACTTCTCTTCTTCTCTTTTCTGGTTTTACTAGGTCATCGTCACCTATGGATCAACAAAATCAACAAATTAACTCCCATGCAAAAATTAACTCCTTTGCGAAAATTAACTCCTATGCGAAAATTAACTCCTATGCAAAAATTAAAACTTCATTCTATTTCATTTTAACAATATGTCACAAATGCCAAAACAAAATAAATACAACTTATGCTAATCACTAAAAATATAACAATATGTCACAACTTATTGGTGGTGACAAAAAATAAATGTTAGAAGCCAAGTCTAAGATGTTCCAAGCAGTATTCATATTACAGAGGTTTAACTGTATGTAACTTATAAAGGTCATTATGGTAAAATACATACTTGGTAATAGCTCCTCCATTAGATCTAGTTGCTCCTCGGTCATGTTGGTGTCTAATAGTTCACTAAACCTTTCTAAGATGTCTTGGCTTGTCTCATCGGGGAATACATAATCACAATAGCTTAATGAATGGTCTAATTCTTTACTGAATACACGACGTGGTGTCTCATACAATACTTTGGGATCTGAAAGAATTTCAAAATGATTCATTAATCATTAACATTGAACCACGATAACTGAATGAGTGTTCTGGCTCTGTTCTACATTCACAATGTGAAACCATAATGACAAACATCAGAGAACATTCAAACACATATGGTCATAAACTGTATATAATGTCTCATGCAACATTGAAGTTCCTGAAGGTATTTCCATAATACTGATGCGATTTCAAATGCAAAGATTGAGTGAAAAACATCATAACTAAAGGAATCAAAAACAACCACATCACGAATAAATAAAACTTCAAATAATAAAATTCCTGTCAATCAGATCTACCATTTAATTTATGACACAACTGGTGAAATAAGAACAAGCAAGAGAAGATGCCCCAAAGTGATGTCACTTTACTAATGTCACTTCACTGATGTCATTTTACTGATGTCACTTCACTCACCCTGATCTTCCTCAGTCTGGCCAACCTCTTCAGCAAGGAGCTCACAACGAGCGGCCAGACTTCGCAATACATCAGTCTTAACTGCTTGTAAAGCCTCACCAACTGTGGCCTTGTTGTGAACGTAACCTCTACATGTCATAGTACCTCTCAGTGACATCATAGCTCCACACTCAGTTCGAGTGATACCTGGTTTATCAGCAGATTTTCTCTTGAAAAAAACCATCTTTAAATTAATAAAACAATTCCTTGATTTTGGTAATTTGGAGGGTGAATCACTGGCAAAGAAATAAAGATTGACCAAATATATGAAAAAGGTTGGTGTATTGTCCATTTACAATCCATTTTTGTTGGATCAGTGTTGATCAATATTATATGTCATTTTTTTGTTCATGGTAGGGGGAGTAAAACGCCCTTTCAGATAGCCAAAAAACATTGAAAGCCAATAGGGGTATAATGTTACAGAAATTTGATTTTAATGTCCATAAAAACGAAGAGGTATAGGGGCTTAAGAGGGCTTTGATTACTTATGTGAAGAAATGTTCCAGAAGAGCCCAGAAGAGGGCTTTATTAACACTTACATGTTTCAGGAGCAGGCCTACATTAAAGGATGATCTCTCTGTTGAAACTTGAGATGATTTTTGTTTGGTCTTTTTAGGAGGAGATGATGTGTCTAATGCGGAACTAGTATCTAGAATCTGGTTACCTATTGTACCCATACAGCTCCATATCCCTGTACAGAATGGTTTAATGCCACTCTGAAAAACAAGAAAAGATTTCATCAGTACAATGTATAATGAATCAAAACATTTAAATGGTAGAAGTATATTGCCAGAACTTTCTTAACAATAAGATGGCCATTCCTCAGACAAAATGAAGATTTTCCATTTGTTTTTTCAGAACCCTGAGGTAAACTGGAAGATCTTGAAGATGCAATAACATGTTACTAGTCCTTTAGCTAATTATTGTTCTTGGGCTAATTTGATCAATATATTTTTTATTCTTTGGGTCTTGTGACAGGAAGAAATGAGAATCAAATATCATAATTAAAAAAACTGAGGCATTATGGAGCTTTCAAAACAAAACAACAAAACAAACAAACAAACCTGAAGTTGTTTATTTATATTCTGCGTTGAATTTTTCTGGACAGGAATGTTAAGATTTAGTCCAACTTTTGTGTGTAACACATGCCACCTATCTAGGAAGGCCTGTAGCTTCCATTCAGCAGGCTTTAGGGTGCTCTGTAACAGACAGTAAGAAAATATTTCAAACATGTACACAGGGTTCTCACCAGGAAATATTTAGACCCTGGATATTTCGTGGTATTGCGACTTCTCCCCCATGTGAGATCAGAGATATCATATTAGCGTACTTTTCAAAATATTATTCCTAATATTATCTTCCTATTTTAATTATTCTAATCACAATATACATTTCTAAAAAGTGTCTGACTGGATTTTCCTTGTTTGTATCCAGTTTTATGTATTTTCTCAAGAGTTTTGCCACAAATAATGTGACAAAAATGTAAAATTAGACTCCGGATAAAAGACTTTTGACTCTGGAAAAGCTATTAGACTTTGGAAAAAAGACTTTAGACTTCGGAGAATCTCTAGAATCTAAAAGCTAACCCTGCATGCACATGTATTATATGATCAAACTAATGCTCTCCTAATAAATAAGCAGACACTGTACCTGAGCTGTAAAAACTGTTTTAAATAGTTTATTTTAGTGAATAAGTCTGACGTACATTGTAGATGAGAATAGAGACATGTTATCTTGTTTTTATATGCATCTATGTGACTGGGATTTTTCCCTAGATTTTTGCCACAAATTGGGCAGGCAGAAACTTCACTGATTTTTTTCCTTGCCCTACTACTTTATTTTGTGACAAAGTGATATTGCATCAACCCTATTTTTTCCTTCACCTTTACTCTGAAGCATACAGCTATTCAAAAAGATGGAATTTTGCATTTACAATATGTACATGTATTTCAAGTAGCCTACCTTATTGTCTGCCACATCTATAGTCCTACAAGTAGACCTTAAGCGCTGTTAAGGAAAGGAATATTTACACTTTCTGATCTGTTGTCAGGTTGTTGCTTGCTTTTGTTACAGATACAGTGAAACCTGTAAACTGGAACACCTCAAGAAGTAGAACACCTCCGTTATTGGAACACTTTTCAGAGTCCCAAGACCAACTGACTTAATGTTGATCAGTTGAATGAACCTCTATAAGTGGTACACCTCCCAAGTGGAATTTCTTTTAGACTATTAATATGATTATTAAATTCTTTCAACTACACGGGAACAGTGCTGGTGTATATTGCTTGTAATATTATGTAGTTTATTGGGTTTTAGTATTTGTGTAATTCAAATATTGTCCCTTGCACTCTCTGTATCTGACTCTTTTTGATCTATTAACTAAAGGATACTTCCTAGTTGTTGAGCAGATATGTAAGATAACTCTGTCTGTCGACTGGCTGTCAGTTGTTAAAACCTGTTGACTCTTACACACTGCTCTATGGACAGCAAACACTGTCTGAAATAATTAGAACATTTTATTTCTCACATATTCTGCAATAAAATGAGACAACATTCCCTCTAGCTCTGCATACAGTAAAACCTGTGTAAATTGAACATATTTTGCCAAGAATAACTGTTCAGTTATAAAATTGAATTCACGAAGGGAGACATAAATAAACTTATTCAAAGTCTTGATGTCTCAAAACAAGGGGGGCCAGATGGCATTTCAAATAAAATGTTAAAAATGTGCTGTGATAGTATTGATCAACCTCTTTTTGATTTATTTAAGATAATAATAGACAAACAGGTTTTTCCCACCTGTTGGAAATTGGGAACTGTAGTACCTTTATATAAAAACAAAGGATCAAAGGGTGATTCAAAAAATTATAGACCAGTTACCTTGTTAAGTAATGTTTCTAAATTGCTAGAACGCATTATTTATAATAACATGTTTAAATATGTTAAAGACAACAACTTAATGTATCAAAATCAGTCTGGTTTTCTTCCAGGACATAGTACGGAAAAACAACTGTTAACGATTGTTGATCTTATTGACAATTACATTGACAAAAATCATGATGTCAGAGGAGTGTTTCTTGATATAGAATCTGCGTTTGATTCCGTTCCGCATTTCCTTTTGATAAAAAAACTTAAATCATATGGCTTTTCAGATACTATAACTCAACTTTTGCAGTCATATCTTTTCAATCGTAGACTTCAAGTTAAAGCTAATGGAGAATTATCAGCAATCTCAAATGAATACTTCATAAATAGTTCCGTGCCGCAGGGATCCATAATTGGGCCGTTTTGCTTCCTGTTATATATAAATGACCTTCACGAAGTCATAAATCATAGTCAACTTTACCTTTATGCAGATGATAGTTGAATCTTTATGCCATTTAATAGGAAAGCTAATATCATTGAACAGAACCAGCATTTACAAGCTGACTTAAATAATTTATGGGAATGGTCACAGAAATGGAAGCTTAAATTTAAACCTTCTAAAAGTCAAGATATGATTTTTAAAGGCTCAAGGAGGTGCAATCTCTTATACCCTCCCCTCTACCTAGGAAATGAGGTCATTAAAAGAACCAGAACTCATAAACACTTAGGAGTCATTCTAGATGAGCATTTGAATTTTGAAGCCCATTTACAGGATATCATAAAAGCATGTAATATAATGTTAAATCCATTGAAAGTTCTTAAGACCAAGATTCGAGCTAAACACCTAGAGAAGATGTATCTATCATTTATTCTCCCAAACTTAGAGTATGGAAGTATATTATTTGAAAAATCTACCAAGTATAATATTATGAAACTAGACCAAGTTCATTATAGGGCAGCATTATTAGTAAGTGGCTGCATTCATGGAACATCTACTGTAAAGGTTTTGAAATGTCTAAATTGGAATACCCTGTCTGAGCGGAGAAAGGAGAAACGTTTACGTTTAATGTATGATGTTAGACAGAAATTGGTCCCAACTTATGTTCAAAAAATTTTTGATAGTTATCAAAATAAGCAACATAATATTAACTTAAGAAAAATTAAGAGAATACACTATTCCAAAGTTAACTGCACGTTCACAAAAGTCACCAATAATAAATGCCATAAGAGAATGGGAAGCCATTCCAAATTATCTAAAAAGTGCACCATCAAGAGTCACTTTCAAAACCAATTTACGTAAATATTCAGGAACAATGAAGCATTTAACAACCACAAACCTGGATCTTACAAGAAAAGAAGAAATTTTACTGAATAGAACAAGATGTGATTTCAATTTTACTGGTCATCTTTTTCAACATAATTTTCAAGGTATTGACAGTCCCAAATGCATCTGTGGTTTTAAACAACAAACTACAAAGCATCTAATCTTCAAATGCCCTCTGTTGAATGTTATAAGAGAGAAACTTTGGGGGGAACTCAGGAACATGCCAGAAATGAACATTTTCTTTACAGGATGCTCTATAGAGCAAAAGCTGAATATCTTAATGTATGGCAGAGATGGAGTTAGCATAACATGCAATTCTTCAATATTGAAGAATTTTACATCCTTTTTGTGTGAATGCATTGATATAATTATATAGTTTTAACACATTCCTGCCATGCATACATATATGTTGGTAGTCATTTTGTTGCTATTTTGTAAATTTGAATAAACTTTGTATTAACAGGGCCAATAATGCTGATTTCAGCCTCGGCCCTGTCATTTGTAGATAATTTTGTAAAGAAAAATAAAGAAACCATAAAAACTAATAACTGTTCAGTGTTGGTAGGTGTTCACTAAGGGAGTTCTAACCATTCCATTAAGGATAAAAAAAACTATGTTTATTCTTCATTGTTAGAATTGTTGGAAACAAACAAACAAATGTACCTGTCTTAATTTTGCTTGTGCTGATTTCAACATATCTGATGTCCCCAGTGCAAATACTCCTAGGATATCTAGTCCCCCTGGCAACATCCTCAGTACCTGTAGATGAAATATAACTACTGTATAATTTTGTACAATCATGTGCATTATTGTAGAAAAACAAATGTGATGATCATACACATCTTACAATGGTCGAGTTAAAAACCTCTGTGACACTTTTCAAAGTCTAATGAATGGTGAACCAACTGGCTTGATGTTAGATGAGCTTTGAATACTTCTTTTATACTTACACTTTATAATGGTACACTTTTAAGACTAATCAAAGGCTTAATGTTATTTGAGCCTCAATTCATGTAACAGGAATACTTCTTTTTTAACATATGCAAGATATTGCAAGATCAGCAATAAAATATATCATCAATTATAACAGATGACTGATACACTAAAAGTTTGTTGCCACTGGGCTAATGGCTACACATCTCAAAAGTTTATCATCCTGGGTGGTCCTAGAAGGAAACTGCCCAAATGACATAATAAATGCAATTGGACTCATACCTGTTTAGCATGCATAGCGATCCATTGCTCATCAATGTTCTCAAGACTATTTGGCTTTGTCATTTTTCCTTTTCTTTTGGTATCATCATCTGTACCCTGGGGTGGGCTCTTTATCAGTTGTACAACATAGTCCTTTTGTGGGGTAACCTACAGAAGATTGTATCTAACTTCACCAGTGTATCTGACTTCACCATTGTCAGGGTGTTATGGTGTGTAAATGCAGTGACAATTTTTGAAGCTGTTGCATGTTTTGAACGTGTAAACAAGAGCGCTTAAGGTTCGTGTTTTATCTTTGGAAATTCTCTGGAAATTCCCAAAATAGCGTTTATATTTGGAGAACTCCGAATGAACTTTAAAAGCTGAACTTCCGGTCTGAAATCACCAGAGATTTCAAACACTACTTCATAAATTTCCTTCAAAACCACCATTTTGATTTCTCACAAGAAAATTTCCACTAGGGGATTAAATGATTAAGGCAAGTCCTGATCGATACAGTCAAGCAGCTGAAAACTTAGACTTTCATAATTTGAGAATGATGATGTTACATTTTGAGATGTAAAGTAGACTATATCCTCTAGTCTGATTTTTTTTTAAATTTGGGATTGAGAAATATTTGTTTACCTGTGCATTAGTCTATAACTAACAGACTGAATTTCCTGAGAATTCAGTCTATTGATCATTATGTCCCTCCTGTGGGAAAATACAGGAAATTTCCTGCACACAATTATCAATTTTAGGAAACTTCACTTCCCAAAAATAAGCATTATAACAATTCAATTAAGTAGTAAGGTACAATTAAATGCTATAAAAAGTAACATAGCATATTGTCAAATGGAAATAAAGCTAGGGGAAGTAACAAATATGCAAATTAATTTCCCCAATCGGCCATTTTGAATGGCACTTCCTATGTAAAGATTGTAAACAAATAATTTTCAATCCCAAATTTTAACATATGTGGGCTATAGTCTGAATATTTTCATTCCAAATTCCCAAAAAATTTCAGACTAGAGGATATACAGTGCTGGTATATATTAATTGATTAGTCATATAATTGGCATATTTTCTTGAATTTTAACATTTAATGTCCCAAACTCCCACAAACTGAAGAAAAGTATACACCATAAATCCTATTTACCAAAATGAGTGTCTCCAAGGCTTCATACCAGCATATGCATAATGCATTTGTCACGAGTTTGAGCTGAAATTTTGCTAAAATGAAGTAGGCTAAGGGTAGTCTCTGCCAGGTTTGTTTATTGTGGTTAGCTTGTAAGTGCTCAGAGGCAAATAATTCATGTGCGCAAAATAATCAAATAATCTGATTGGGTTAAACTTTGCTGCACATGCGCACAATGTGTGCCATGGCTTTTTCTAATGATTTCATTTCGTTTAATGGAGTAGTTTCAGTGTAACTTCCGCCAACATGGCGGACCATGGGCTCTATCAGAGAGCTTTTCACCTATAATAGCAAAACTTTTGTTTTATTTGTGCATTCAATCTATTAGATAAGAGTCTCAGGGGTATTATTATATATCAGCACTATAGTCTAACCTGTACATGGAGTAAATAATTTGCATATTTGTTACTTCTAGCTTTATTTCCACTTGACAATATGCTGTGTTACTTTTTATACCATTTAATTGTACCTTAGTACTTAATTGAATTGTTATTATGTTTATTTTTGGGAAGTAAGGCTTCCTACAAATGATAATTTTGTGCAAAAAAAATCTCTACAATTCTGTAGGACAGAAAATAAGGTTGACAGACTTCTAGTTTCTGTTGTAGCAACTTGATATATCGAGGGCCATGGCATTGTCTGTCAACTAAAATAGCCGTCACCTCGAGATAATTAGATTAAAACCATAGAAAGGGTAAAAAGCTCACTGTGCTACATGTAGCAATCAAGGATCTTCTATAAAATTGACATGAGTGGGCGATAATAGGTGAAAACATACCTGTCCAACTACCAAGCCTATTAACCATGGGTTCTTTGCATACAAGGAGTTAATGTAAACATCAATCGCTTCTTCAGCGACAATTGTTCTCCCCATGATGATGTATATTAAATGTTTTCGTCCTTGATGAAGTAATTTCGCAGTAATATTAGTCTACATTCAGTTTTCAGAAATTATTTTTCCATATGGAAAGTGGGTCAAGTGAATTTTTTCTCAGATTTTCTCATATCATGTTTGAAATTGGTATTTGGTATTTTCATGAGTAGGTTATGATTATTTTATTTATATCTCATTATCATATAATCCTCGATAAATCACTAAATGTAGACTTATTATTGTCGCCAAATTTATACCGCCAAATATTCAAGATGTCAGCCCCCATGAAATTTCGAAACTTTTTCAAAATATGTACATTTTGCCAAAAAAAAACACAATATACGACCGATCCACAGCAGGATATTGACTTTGCCTCGAAGGGAAAATATCAAGGGTCTAAAGAGTAAGTTTTTTGTCGTTAAAATGGCTTGAATGTGCATCTCAACATGGACTTTCATTTTCTGTAAATTCGTGATCTCAGTCACATCACAAAGTAGATCTACTAATTCAAATTTATATTTATTTATTTATATATACCGTAAACATTATAGTTCACAGAACCCCAAAAGCCTTATGGCAATCCATCCCATGGTGTCTCAGGATATTACCCACAGGCACAGGAAGATTTAATCCCCCCCCCCCAGTCACTGTATTGCTAATGTAAAACCTAATACATAGTGAGTGGGAGGGGGATGAACTCTTGTTCCCTTGTCTGTGATATTACCTTTTTTGAATGAGGGAACACATTTATTTACCAGGCCCGTAGCCAGAATTTTCCAAGGGGGGTTCGTTTTTCTAAAAAATTCTAGGGGGGGTTTCACTTTGGCAAATATGGCCAAAAATCACTCAAAAAGTAGTCAGAATGGTGAAAAACTGCATGATTTTGAAAGAAATTTTGGCCAGGGGGGGTTCGCCCGAACCCCCCCCCCCCCCCTGGCTACGGGCCTGTTTACCATATTCTACATTGTATGGCCACTGAGTGTGGCCATAGAATATAATAAGACACTCTTTGTTGTTTTGAATTTGCCTTTAAATTGCCCAGCCGTCTTATTTTTATTGATGTAAACATAATAAACTCACCTTCATTGATCTTTACAGGCAGTCATAGTTCATACATTCGTCTACTTCGCAGGATATTTATTCGCAAAAGAATCAAAATAAAACTGAAAGAAATATTTTACAACAAGCGGCCATCTTGTCTTTTCGCTATAGCGGAATGAAGGCATGCTTTCAAAATGGAGAACGAGACGACGTCTATTTTAAATGAAAACGTTCAATATCTCATCAACAAGACAAGCTGTTACCATTTCAATTCATGAAAATTAACAGAACGATTTTTAGAATATTACATAAATTTATAAAACGACGGCTAAAGATTTTGCAATAGTTCACGGTGTTCCAGATGGAATTACTCCTAGCCAAGAATTGGCTAGAGACTTGAGTAACATTTAATGGGGTCAATCTAATCCCTCTCCTAAGGATTACTTGTCAGAATGGAAGAAGTGGGATGATTTTATCTTCGAAATCACACATGATTTTTATGCTCATTCTAATGCAACGAAGAGGTCAATACTATTGACACAGGGACATATTATATTTTAATATACATGTATCTGGAATGACCCTAGGACACCCCAAAGGAATGTCTAACTAACGAGTATAGTGTAACAAGCCAGATACAGAAAATAAAATGAAAGAAATTGTGCTAAATTCAGCATCCCTATTCAGGACCTTTAGTTTCTAAACCCGATGCTCTATCAACTGAGCTATTAAGTAACCTGCAACTTGCTATTCAGAGTGGTTACACTTTCTGATCTCAGTCACCTTTTCACCAATTTACTTAAAGCCATGCATCTGAATATTTTGACTGAATTTTACAACATGAAATGCATTAATATTTCAAACATTTCCAGGGCTGTTCTCTTCATCCTCTGCAGTGTGTAACCAGCATGAAGATACATCCAGATACCCCCACCAGTTGAAGATGGATGAATTATATGATGGTCATATCCCAACATCAACATTTCAGAAGATACTTCTGGGAGTTGGCTCTGCTGGGGTGGCTATTGTCAACCCTTGGCGTGATGGTAAGCTAATCCTGGCTTCAAAAGTGTGAAATGTGTCTTCCTATTATTGCCACTTATTGAAAACTAAGTATAAACTCGTTATTTGTCCTGGACTAGGGGGGATAAAAGAGGACGGAAAACCCCAGACAGACATAATTACGCCTCTTGTGTACCACTTTCGTTTGCGCAAATTCTCACCAGTTAGTTTTCAAACACGTCGTTGTGATGTTTTAATTGATGTTAGTATATTCCTTACATCTTTCTTTATATTGATGTGATATTGGTTAAAACGCCAGAAATGCACATAATGAACATTTGAGGCTGTTTTGTTTGCCGATTTTGACCAATTAGAGATGTATGTCATCTCAATACAGATTTACATTATAAACGTATGTCATCTTTGAACTCTGTGGTTATTCCCCCTCTAGGCGGATAATGGCCATTATGGCCTGTGACTATGTCTCCACCTATTTCTCAAGTCAATATAGTAAAATAAAGCCTTCTAAACTAGAACTAATGCCCTGAGAACAGGCCTTGCTAGGTGGTGGTTATGAACATTAGCTTAGTGGTATGGTCAGGAGATAGCGTTCATCAAAAACACAATTAACTTTTGTTTAAGACTTAACTGTTGCCCTTCACACTCAAAATATGAAACCTAGATACTGGAGTATTACATGTAGTTTGCATGGATGTATCAATGCTGTCACAAACATATTAGGATTTTACCCTCAACCCCAAAATGTATATAGCATTTTGATTGACGGAAATCAATATTTGCAGCCGACCCCTTTAATAATTTAATAATATTTATTTAACGGACATTGTTCCAGACTGTAGAATGACCTAAGTGTCTCATAAGCCAACCTCGGCTGGTAGTGTGTGTATATTTTTAGCACGAGTGACAGTATAATAAAATATTTTGATAATAATAATGATAAATCAACATAATCAACAGTAAGTTGTTAGTTATTATGTTTTAGATATTTATTTTTATTTATTTTTTATTCTCAAATATAATACATAAATACATATACAATAACAATACAATAAATTGTGTATAAATAGTAGTGTCTTAGAGAAGTGAATATGTTTTAGATATGATAGCTGTAATGGGGGAAGCCACAGGGGAGTTGGCGCTAAAATCTCTGCGAGCCAAAATGTTGGCAGATCCAGTAGGGAGACAGATCTTAGAGTAAGTGCATTATTGTTACATTTGCATTACCTTGCATGTTATATTGTGTTGAATAACAAATTTCCTAAATATTATGAAAAATAATTAAAAATATATACAACAGCTTTTGTATTTTTAGGACTACGGCAAGGTACAATATGTGGTTGGTATGGAAATCGTTGCCCCTAGCAATGACGGCCAAGTTACAGATTTGGCAACATCAAGATTCTTATTCAGCACCTTAAACTCTATAAAGTTCACTATGTTGCCAAGCTGTAACAAACATTTTCTACGAGACCACTTAACAGCCATGACTAATTGTTGCATTTTTTCATCGACAAATTCATTAAAACTGTAAATCGTATTCTATAATCCATAGGTTGGTTGTTTTATGCTTTTCTAGAAATGAGCCAAGGATCAATTCACAAACAGTTGATCTGGATTATCTAAAGACCCTTCCAGATGGAACATTTGGGCGAGAATACAGGAGATTCCTCGACAAATATGTGAGTAGTGTCTTAGAGAAGTGAGCTCAATTCTACATTTAGTTCCATGACTTTAGACCCATATACCCTTAGTATTTGTCAAAGTGTTAATTAGACTGTGAATAGATAATGAAAAGTACACTCTAACATTGTCTGACAAATTACAACGATGAAACTAAAATTGGCTTTGATAGCAGATAAAATTGAATAAATCGACTGATACTAAATTGATTGAAAATATTTGGAGAGCATTCAGCATGAGGCGCTAACCTCTTGACTACCTTGAGTGATGAGATTTGTCGTCACCTCAGAAATGACCTTGAAACCCAGAGTGACGAGAAAATCCGTCACCAAATTTTTCACTATAATTGCTCTTATTTGAACAATTTTTATCCAATTTACACAAAAATTGTTAAAATATGTGTAGAAATGATCTCTGCCTTCTTATTTTACTGATTTGAGCATCTAAGGTTGTATTATAGTTATGTAATAAAATGTCAAAAGGTGGCAAAAATGAAAAATTCTCTGGTTTCAACCGATTTTAGACCCTGGGATTCAAGAGGTTAAAGTATGATACCTGTACTTTGTTTATTGTAGCAACTGACGCCAGATGCAAGACGTCATGTTGAATTTGTGGATGATGTTGAGCTAGCTTACGTCATGCAAAGATACAGAGAGATCCATGATCTGTTTCATACCCTGTTTGGCATGCCTACCAACTGGTTAGGAGAAGTAAGTTTATGATAAAATAAGAAACTGTGTTTCTCAGAAAACATATGATTTAGCTCTAACTATGTGGCCATTATAGTGGCTAATATGGACTCTGGAAAGTCATAATTATTGAATCCTTCACTATGGCAACAAAGCAACTCCATGATTATGCATTTCCTGTACCACCAATTTTTTGTATTGAGTCTTGCAGTTGAATGTACTAGAATTCATTGTAAAATGGATTAACTTTCACTTTTCAGGTGTCAGTGAAGACTATTGAAGGCCTGCAACTAGGGCTGCCTATGTGTGTACTTGGTGCTGTAGCGGGGCCAGTGAGATTCTACAACAAACCAAAGTAAATATGAGTGAATAATCAAAATAGGGAGGTTAAGATAAACATTTTTTAAAAACTTGTACCTGAATGTGTAGAATAATGGTTCTCTGTGGATTAGTTCTCCCATTTGCGCTATTTACTTGGGCATATAAAGGTATACAGAATTATGGTCCTCTGTGGATTAGTTCTCCCATTTGCACTATTTACTTGGGCATATAAAGGTATACCGAATTATGGTCCTCTGTGGATTAGTTCTCCCATTTGCACTATTTACTTGGGCATATAAAGGTATACCGAATTATGGTCCTCTGTGGATTAGTTCTCCCATTTGCACTATTTACTTGGGCATATAAAGGTATACCGAATTATGGTCCTCTGTGGATTAGTTCTCCCATTTGCACTATTTACTTGGGCATATAAAGGTATACCGAATTATGGTCCTCTGTGGATTAGTTCTCCCATTTGCACTATTTACTTGGGCATATAAAGGTAACCGAATTATGGTCCTCTGTGGATTAGTTCTCCCATTTGCACTATTTACTTGGGCATATAAAGGTATACCGAATTATGGTCCTCTGTGGATTAGTTCTCCCATTTGCACTATTTACTTGGCCATACGGTATACGAAAAATAATTGTAATTAGGTCCCTGGAAAAGTGAATTGAGAGAAGGAGGTCAAAATATAAATACACACTCATGTACAGGTTCTCTTTAAAACGTGTAACACAACCTACCTATTAAAGCAGCGATTAACCTTAAACACACTAAATCATATTTATTATCCCATTGCTATATCCTGTACAAGTATTATATGAATCATAATTTTACTCTCATGATAATTAAGTCATGAGAAATCAGTGGCGAATTCGGGGGGGGGGGCATGGGGCCCGGGCCTTTTTGGGCAAATTTTGGCCTTTATAGGACTTTTTCGAGTCATTTTATCAAAAATGGGCCTTATTTTTTGGAGATTTGGGGTTTTAGGGGCCCAAAATCTTTTTCTGTGCAAGCATGGACATTTTTTTCAGACTCAAAATTTGGCCCCCCCCTTGTTCATTTCTGGATTCGCCACTGGAAATTTTGCATAAATTAAAAAATACTGAGTAAATTATTGAAGAAATCTATCCTTTAACCCAGGAAAGCATTATTATACTACCTGCAAATGGAGTTAATGTGCCACATTGCCTTTATCAGTTATTATCACTCAAGAAAATCATGGCTCCAAATCAGTCATAGTTGAGTTATTTCTTCACTACATTGGTTACAACCAATTACATTGCTTTGTAAGTACTCTAACTGTGAACTCCTATTGCACACCATGGCTGCCTTAAAATAAACAGTGAAACCTGAAAAGTGAAACACCTCTAGAAGAGGAACACCTCTGTTATTGGAACACTTTTCAGAGTCCAAAGACCAACTGACTTAATGATGATGATGAACCTCTATATGTGGAACCCTTCTCAAGTGGAAAACCTTTTAGAAGTACAAAATGTTCTTTTGTTTCAGGCATGGCAGGAAATATGTGGAATCGTACCTACCATGGGCAATGAGAGTTGGACAAAATGCCAAGTTTCTCATGAATGTGTACTATGAAAAACATTGGGAGCAACCTTTAATTGAACTTCGAGAGGAATTGAACATTGAGACCCCTCCCTCATGAGATGGCCTATTTGTCTATTTGGGATAATGCTTGCTTACTTGTACCTGAGACCATCATTATGTTAGTCTCAGCTTGTACCGTTATGCTTATCTTTTGGGTCGATCTAGTATACAAAATCTCTAATTGTGAAAAACTTTATATGATAATATGCAGAATCCCTGTAAGCTTATAGCTCATGAGAGAGTGATTGCTGTAAAGTGTGCAATATAGTGTATTTATTTACATCTGTACACATGTACTCTGTGATGTACCAGAGAGATCGCTATTATAGTGAATTTGACATTGATATGTACGTGAATCTGACAAAAGTAGTTTGGTGGGAGAGGTTTCGATTTCTGCCAGAAAATAGATTTTTTTCATGAAAAGATTTACCAATAAATTGCTAAGACACTATACTCAAGGGGCGAGGAGGAAAATTCTCAATAAATGGTGTATAGTTGGTTTGGCAGTATTTTCAGTTAGGGGAGAGTCTTGGATGAAACTTCCACCTAGGTGATAGCTTCACAGAGTGGTAGGAAGTTCTTTTTTTTGAGGAGTTAGCCCCCCACCCCCCAAAAACACCCCACCCTGGGAAAAAAATTGTTCACACTAAATAACCTTAGATATTTTGATGTTTGTAGGTGACATACATAGATATTATACATATGAATCACTTGCAGTATAATTGATGCTGATAACTCCTAAAGAATTTGAAAATTAGTACAAAGTATGTACCCCAGGGGGCAAATTCGTGACTCATTTTCTTACTATTTTGATTCTAACTTTTCAATTAGACACTGTAAGAGGTTGGAAAAATTCATGTGAAGTGCCCAATAGCAGGGTTAGTAACCCTGAAAGATGCAAAGCCATGGAAGAGGTAGGAGCTGAGAAAAAAATTTATGATTTTTCGAAAAATTTGACATTTTTGACAGCTGGATTTTGTGTATGACTATAGCTGACCCTTATAATTTCTAGATCCATCCCTCTATGATGATATTTATGGTTTTATAGTGTGAAACTAAGATGTGAAACATAATTTAGATGGGTTTTAAGGAAGTTAAAGGTTTTAAACAAGTCCAAAATTTGAAAAATTGTAAATATAAGGTTTCAAATTTACGAATTCCAGGTATAGCCATGGCTGACCCCTATAGTTTCTAGATCCATCCCTCTATGATGATATTTATGGTTTTATAGTGTGGAACTAAGATGTAAAACATAATTCAGATGGGTTTTAAGGTAGTTAAAGGTTTTAAACAATTCCAAAATTTGAAAAATAGTAAATATAAGGTTTCAAATTTACGAATTCCAGGTATAGCCATGGCTGACCCCTATAGGTTCTAGATCCATCCCTCTATGATGATATTTATGGTTTTATAGTGTGGAACTAAGATGTAAAACATAGTTAAGATGGGTTTTAAGGAAGTTAAAGGTTTTAAACAAGTCCAAAATTTGAAAAATTGTAAATATAAGGTTTCAAATTTACGAATTCCAGGTGTAGCCATGGCCAATCCCTATAGTTTCTAAATCCATCCCTCTTTGGTGATATTTATGGTTTTGTAATATGGAACTAAAGATGTAGAACATAATTTAGATGGGTTTTAAGGAAGTTAAAGATTTTAAACAAGTCCAAAATTTGAAAAATTGTAAATATAAGGTTTCAAATTTACGAATGTTAGGTACAGCCATGGATGACCCATATGGTGTTTTCATCCATACCTCTATGATGAAACATATATTTTTAGAGTGTGAAACTAAGAAGTAAAACATACCGAAGATGAATTTTAAGGAAGTTTAAGAATTTTAACAAGTGCAATGTTTGAAAAATTGAGAAATATCAGGTTTCAAAGGAGCACGGAAAGTATTGCAACATATTTCAGACAGTCATATGTTAGATTTTGTCTGTTTCCTGAGGATTTAAGCAGGTGCATATGATAGGCCATTGCATTACCTACAGGAAAATAACTCTTAGAGATGATAAAATAGTTTGGAATTTGAGACAGTGACGGTGAAAACAATCCACCCACATGTTTTTTCGGAAATGTTGTCCTGATTTTCAAGCCCTTTCACCCCTGCTTTTTCAATTTTTGAGACATAGTTAACCCATAAAAAGGAATAATAAATTTCTTTTAGATAAAGCAGAAAACAATATTTTCTTGTTATTTTCCCATAGGGAAAACTCATGTGCTCCATTACTCTCAGCTTAATTTTGGTCACCCATATTTGATATCTTTTAAACCCCTGATGGAATGCATTATTTCTTTAAAGGGGTTAACTGTGTGTCAAAACACAACATATTGATGCATGTGGGTGGGTTGTTTGCACCCTGTCTCAAATAGAAATTATTTTATCATCTCCATGAGTGCTTTTCCTGGAGGAAATGCATTGGCCTAACATATGCACCTCCTCAAATCCTCAGAAAATAGCAAAAATCCAACATGTGACTGTCCTAAATCTGTTGTGATACTTTCAGTCCTCCTTTACGATTTCAGGTATTGCCTTGGATGTCTCTCTTTTTGAATGTATGACTTTTTAGCTTAGAAATTAGATGTTGAAAATATTGTGGTCAGGTTTGATCCATGTTACAAGTATTGTTAAAAGAAAAATCATTAGAGTTGAGGACCTTACCCTAGAGTTCCTAAGGGGGTGAGAGGTTAATAAATCCCCCCCCTAAAGTGTAACTGCTCTTAGGGATATCGTATACAGTGTAGTAATTGATTGATTAAATGGATTATAACTAATTAATTATTATTTGATGATATTTATTATGTGATATAGCATTTTTACTTTTTCACATCAACATGTTCGATGTAATGTTCTACATTGTCAAAATACATAAAAACATGGTTAAATAAAAGAAACATGATTTCTCTATATTTTGTTATGCCCATACTGTAATTAAGCAATGATCATCTCCTAATACAAACTATTATTATAAATTATCAAATTATAATCACTACACTCCCAATAAAACAACTTGTCATCAGGCAACAGTAATTATTTGGGAAAATAAGGATTATAAGGATCATACCCCGCTGGGCCTAGAAACTCCCGTTAGTGCAATGAGATTAGGAACTCCAGAGTAAAAGGGTCTTGTCACACTAAAATCTTCATGTAGATCAAAAAAGGATATATGGTGATATATATGATCAATTAATGTTTCAAACAAACAGACATTGTAGAAAATGTTTACATACTGACTTTGCAGATGACATTTTCTAGCAGTTGAAGAATTTTTTACATTTATTGAAATGATAGTCATAAAATTAGAATATCAGTGTCATTTGATACAAATTACTGCAGTCCCACATGTTCTCCTGCTGAATGTAAAACAGAGTGAATAAGTTTAAAATCAGCCTCTTCAAGAGTGGAATTTAACAGGGGATTTCAGTTATCATTTTCACAGATATTTAAGTTCTCTCCAATAGTTCCACTTAAAACAGTCTTGACATTTGGCACACTTTTAGAATGCTGCTTTATTAAATTTCTTTGTAATCTTTGAAAATTTGTATGACTTGGCCAAAAGGTATTCATATTTTTAGGCAATGGTGTAATTTCTTCTTTGGATTAAAGTTCAGTAGGGGAAGCATCCATTCTTCGCATTCTTTCAGAATCCTTTACTGATGGAGACTACTAGGAGTCTAATATGAAATCTATTCTTTGGGCTCCTTTACTAGATTTGATGGAGTAGTCAAATATAGCTTTCCAAAACTCTCCAAATTTCAACATATAAGTTAATCTTAATTTTCCTTTTGTCATAGCCATTGCATCAATCACGAAAGTTTTATCAATTTGTGGTATGGTTTCATCGATCTCCTTTTCAAACCCCTTTTTAAGTTCTGATTTTACAGATAAGATAGATGATCATTGTCAAACGAACTGTTTGGATCCATATAAGATCATAGTTTACTCACACATAGCTAGGCAACGTGTGTCCAATTCCAGCCAATTCAATACTTCATATAACTCTCCAATTTACTACTCTCATAAACCCAAGGTCAGTTTTAGATTCTAGAGAAAATAATGAAACCAATAAGCTGATCAATAACATTGACTAAAAATCTATAAATAGCATCATAGTATGCCAAGTGCTTGAATTTATGTGGATTACTCATTTGGTAGACACCTTTATCAAATCTTAAAGTGTTGTTGATTTTCAAGTTGTACAAGCAAAGTGTCATGGATGCTTTCTTTTCCTGACATAGTATTAACATTGTGGTAAAAATTATCAAATGCACCTAGTACAGTAGTTCTATTTCATCATCTTGTATAAATGATATATCAAAAGTGAAACCTGTATATCCCAACATCTGACTATTGTGAATACCTACCAATCATCCCAACACCTGACTAATCTGAACACCAACCAATCTGAACACTTTTCACAGTCCAATTTTTCCTCCCATTAACTCCTGTGTTTAAAAAATTGAAATCTGAACACCTCTCACTTCGAACAGTGAACACTCATATTTGAAAAATTAACCTGTCTAACTTGAACTCTTTTTACCAAATATCACATATTTCTTACAAAATTGCTCAAATATTGTCAGTTTAACACTGAATTGTTATGATATTTGTAGATGTAAAAACCTCAAAATTCAAACACTCCTAATTAGAATGCTTTTAGCCGCTCCAAATACCAGTAGCATTCAGATTAGAGAGATTTTACTGTAGTTCACGACTTTTCACTCCATCTATATGCAGCAGACTAACTGCTGCAACAGGTATATATTCTACACCTGGTCTCTAAGCTATGATATCATAGTTGATACTATTATGCTCATAACCTTTAATTATCAGGGCTCATTCAAGGCTGTACCTGAATAACGTGAATTTGAGACCAATTTTGAGATCAATTTTTCAAATTTTGCACTTGTTTAAAACCTTGAACTTCCTTCAAACTCATCTTAGGTATCTTTTACATTTTAGTTAAATACTCTTAAAACTATATATTTCATCCCTGAGGTATAGATGTAAAAACCATAAGGGTCATCTTTGGCTATACCTGAAATTCATAAATTTGAAACCTAACATTTACAATTCTTCAAATTTTGGACTTGTTTAAAACCTTAAACTTCCTTAAAATTCATTTTGGATATGTTAAATCTTAGTCCCACACTCTAAAACTGTATATTTAATCATAGAGGTATGGATGTAAAAACCATAAGGGTCAGCCGTGGCTATACCTGAAATTTGTAAATTTGAAACCTTATATTCACAATTTTTCAAATTTTGGACTTGTTAAAAACTTTAAACTTTCTTAAAACCCATCTA